TTATGAAGACGTCAACATCTGGAGGGAAGCACGGTATCAACTGGACAGTTAGGACGCAGCTGGACGATCTGGACTTCGCAGATGACCTGGCTCTTCTATCCCACACTCAACAACAAATGCAAGAGAAGACGACCAGTGTAGCAGCAGCCTCTGCAGCAGTAGGTCTCAACATACATAAAGGAAAAAGCAAAATTCTCCGATGCAACACAACATGCACCAACCGAATCACGCTTGATGGAGATACCTTGGAGGACGTTAACACCTTCACATATCTTGGCAGCATCATCGACGAGAAAGGTGGATCGGACGCAGAGGTGAGGGCGCGGATTGGCAAAGCAAGGGCTGCATTTCTACAGTTGAAAAATATCTGGAACTCCAAACAACTTTCAAACAAAACCAAAATCAGGATCTTCAATACAAATGTCAAGACAGTTCTACTGTATGGAGCGGAAATATGGAGAACTACCAAAGCCATCATTCAGAAGATACAAGTGTTTATTAACAGTTGTCTACGCAAAATACTTCGTATTCGTTGGCCAGACACCATCAGCAACAACGAACTGTGGGAGAGAACAAGTCAGATTCCAATGGAGGAGGAAATCAGGAAGAAGCGGTGGAAATGGATAGGACATACACTACGAAAAGCACCCAACTGCGTCACTAGACAAGCCCTCACATGGAACCCTCAAGGCAAAAGGAAAAGAGGAAGGCCAAGGAACACACTACGTCGAGAAATAGAGAAAGATATGAGAGGAATGAACAAACATTGGAAAGAACTGGAGAGGGAAGCCGAGGACAGAGTTGGTTGGAGAAAACTGGTGGGCGGTCTATGCTCCACTGAGGGTAACAGGCGTAAGTAAGTAAGTAAGTAAGTAATGATATTCAGCTAATATTGACTAGATCATGCCTAGTAATCGGTGTGTATTTTGCAACTTTTTTCAAAATATATAATTATTAAGAAGAAATAATCATAGCCGGCAATTTTTAACATCACATAATTGTTTGAATAAGTTCCTAATATTTACCACAAACTGAAATGACACAAAAATACTTTAAAATCAAAGTTTGCTAGGTATGGATTCCGTCCTTTTTCTAATGCACTTTATTATTGCAGACTCACCGCTTTACAGAGAATCAAACTGTTGAGAGATTGATCTCACAAGGAGCAAAATATTAGTTAACCATTGGGTTTAAATCCAGTTTCTTACATTTTTAACTTCAATCACTATGTGTTATATAGTGAAATCCTTTGTTCACCAAATACTTATAAATTAATTTATCAACTACCTAAAATTATTGATCTCACAGGCAATGATTTCTCATGATTATTCCGTAAAAAATATGAAAACCACCTCTATCTTTCTCTTTGTAAAGTTATTGCATTAGATTATACTTCTTGAATAATATCCTCGAACCCTCCATCTTCTTCTTCATTACCGCTCGTACTTCTATTATCTCTACCATTATGGGATTCGAAATGACAATCGTGTCTCTGTGCTACTGTGGAATGGCAACCTTAACTTATGTACATACACATACTTGTTATCTTATTATCTGAGATCAATAAACAGTGTAAACAAAGGTATAATGATTTTCAGTTCATGAAGATAGAATCTTGACTTTTTAGTCGCAACAGACAATGTACAACATGGCTAACTATGAACTTTCGATTCAAACTTTCATTCAGCTCACCTTTTTTTAGATACTACTTATTGTATATATACTGAGCAGTTATTCGTAGTTAGTAGTAAAACCTTCATTTTGTTTGTCATATATATATATATATATATATATATATATATATATTACTTACTTACTTTCGCCTGTTACCCCCAATGGAGCATAGGCCGCCCACCAGTTTTCTCCAACCAACTCTGTCCTGGGCTTCCCTCTCCAGTTCTGTCCAATGTTTGTTCATTCCTCTCATATCTTTCTCTTTTTCTCGGCGTAATGAGTTCTTCGACCTTCCTCTTTTCCTTTTGCCTTGGAGGTTCCAATTGACGGCTCGTCTTGTGACGCAGTTCGTTGCTTTTCGTAATGTGTGTCCTATCCACTTCCACCACTTCTTTCTGATTTCCTCCTCCACTGGAACCTGGTTTGTTCTCTCCCATAGTTCGTTGTTGCTGATGGTGTCTGACCAACGGATCCGAAGTATTTTGCATAGATAACCAATAATAGATACCTGAATATTCTGGATAATGGCTTTGGTAGTTCTCCATGTTTCTGCTCCATACAGTAGAACTGTCTTGACATTTGTATTGAAAATCCTGATTTTGGTTTTGGTTGAAAGTTGTTTGGAGTTGCAGATATTTTTCAACTGTAGAAATGCAGCCCTTGCTTTGTCGACTCGCGCCCTCACATCTGCATCGGATCCACCTTTCTCGTCGATGATGCTGCCAAAATATGTAAAGGTGTTAACGTCCTCCAAGGCATCTCCATCAATAGTGATTTGGTTGGTGCATGTTGTGTTGCATCGGAGAATTTTGCTTTTTTCTTTATGTATGTTGAGACTTACTGCTGCAGAGACTGCTGCTACACTGGTCGTCTTCTCTTGCATTTGTTGTCGCGTGTAAGATAGAAGAGCCAGGTCATCTGCGAAGTCCAGATCGTCCAGCTGCGTCCTAACTGTCCAGTTGATACCGTGCTTCACTCCAGATGTTGACGTCTTCATAATCCAGTCGATGACCAGGAGAAAGAGAAAGGGTAAGAGGAAGCAACCTTGCCTGACACCGGTCTTCACCTCGAAAAAGTCTGTAGTGTGTCGATTTCGGCGTAATTAGCTCGTCCAGACAATCGTTACACAGTAACGTCTGACGGTTTATAAATCAGAAGATACACTCGAAGTGATGAATACGTTTATTTGGGACACAACACCACAAAGCGAAGCAGAGAAGCAGCGAATAAAACGAATGAAGCGACGTGAATCGGAAAAGTCTGTTGAGCCAACTCCTTGATTACAGTGCGAAAGAACGGGGGAAGGAAGCGAATGAACAGGCGAAGCGCGTTGTAGAAGGCTAAGAGTCAAGTCCTATAGATAGAGCGTGACTAAGAATATTAAGTCAGACAAATATAAGACAGACATGCGACAAGCGAAATAGGCACACATGAATAAAAGCGACGATTAGTTAACAAGGTCAAATGACAAGTGGGACACGTCATGTGAGTTCATACAAACCAGACAATAATAAGAACGAATGGTACATATAAATTGTTGCAATACAAATGACTTGGTTAAATAAATTAATCGAAAGGGCTTAACGAAATTAAATGTAAGCGAACTGGAATATATGTGGAGGCCCCACAAGTCTGTTAGCTGTCCTTCGTGTACGATTTTGCAGTTGAATCCATCATAAGAATTCCGTATGATGTTGACTATTTTCTCAGGCACACCGTAGTGTCGAAGAAGCCTCCACAGTGTTTTCCTATCCACGCTATCGAATGCTTTCTCGTAGTCGATGAAGTTGATGTAGAGTGGTGAGTTCCATTCAATTGATTGTTCCACAATGATCCGTAATGTAGTAATTTGGTCAGTACACTATCGATCCTTACGAAATCCAGCCTGTTGATCTCGTAGTTAGGCGTCCACGAAGTCCTTCATTCTGTTTAACAATACTCTGTTGAAGACTTAGCCTGGTATTGAAAGAAGAGTGATGCCTCTGTAGTTCTCACAGTTGCTGAGATCGCCTTTCTTTGGTATTTTGGTGAGGTATCCTTCTTTCCAATCTGATGGTACTTGTTCCTCATCCCAAATCTTCTTGAAGAGGATGTGAAATGTTTTCGCAGTATGAGCTGATGATGATGAGCTGAATATCATACTTTAAATAAATGATGATATATTGATTTGGGTTAGACATTAACATTATTGGATGCCATTTTAATAGTACAGTGATTAAGGGTTCGTGTGTGACACGGAAGGTCATGGGTTCGATCCCTGAGTGTGGTGTTCTTAGATACTTACTGATGATGAGTCTCATAGTAGGGCGAAACAGCAATCCACTGCTGTCATGCTTCCAATGGTGTTCTAGCACTGATCAGTTCATCAGTTCAATGAAACTCAACAATCTCCACAACCCTATAATTGTAGTGAAGGAGAACACAGGTGAGGGCAACCGAATTGTATTTAACGATCGCAAATTACAGAGTTACTCAGTAAAATAGGAAAACCATATCGTAAACGGTTAATTTGCAAATCTTCAATCAATCCATTGCCTGAAACTTCACTTATTCATGCGTTTCATACAAATTCCATTGTGTTCCCACTCGTCCTTTCTTGATTTTCCCCCTCCTTTTGCTGCCAGACTTTACGTTTTCACTCACGTCATATACTACTTATAAGTAGCGTGAACCACATAATGACCAATATCACATTATTTGAAAAGACATGATTTATAAACTACTTCGATTGAATATTTTTTCACAAAGATAATATTGTACAGCATACGAGACAAATTTAATGCATATTCAGATAAGGTAAGCATTTTACAGCACAATATTGTTATCAGAGTGTAAACTTGAGAGTAGTCATGACTTTTTTCAGTAAACTGTTTTGGCTTTGTTAAACAGTTTAAGATAATATTGTAGTCAAACAAGTTGGTACAATGATATCATTGGCATTTCAGAATGATGTTTGTCTCATAGAACACACTAATTAGGGAACCAGCATTTTATAGTTCAAGGGATGACGCTTCGTATTTACCAATGAATATAGATCACTGATAGGAGATTTTAGTTGCGTTACAGAATACTTATAATTAAATACAATCCGAAGGAGAAGAAGACGTAATTAGAGAGCAAAGACGTGGAATAAACATTTTTTGATAGAGTTTTCGTCATGTATGAGTTTGGCTTTTTCATAACACTGATTTACAATTGATTTTTATGCCTCTTTGAAATGACTGAATAAACGATTTTAACAGGATGCAAATGTCGATTAGATAGATATATTGTGTAAGAGATTAACAATACAAATTCGTATAAAGCCTCAAAAAGATAATTACAACATGAAGGGTGAGTGGATGAATTACGATCTACATGTGAGATGTACTTCTTTGTGTAACCATTTTTAACACAGCATAGTGCAAACGATAGTAAGTTTGTTTAATGGAAAACTTGTCATAAACTGTTTCAGATTACTTGGAAATCTAATTGTGAAAGAACCTTCATTAGATTGAATTTGTCAGTCAGTCAGTCAATCAGATGCAACGTAGAACTTCGTACGTAAATACATCAGTTCATCTTGTCACACCTTATCAGCACAGAAATATAATTGTCAATTCAAATCCAATAGTAGAAGAGTTAGTAAGGGTATTAGAAGTAATCGGAGAGGTTTGGATTAGAAGATATTAGTCAAGAAGTATGACTGAGTGAGAAAAGTTTAGAAAATCAAAACTAGAGTGGTTGAAGAATACAGAAGATTAGGATTTGAGAGAACACAAAGCATGAATGCACCGGCGCCATTGCGAACGATTTTGAGCCATGTCATTCAGGGTCTCTAACCATCGATTGTTATCATCTCGCGGACCCAAACCAGGTAGTCGACAATTACCGACATGACTCAGTCCACTAGTCAATGACTTCATGGATTTCTGCCATGTTTTGGTTTGGCCACCCCTAACTTTCTTCCAACCTATTCCTACACCACAAAACAAAGCTCGTCGAGGTAGTCGGTGGTTAGGCATAAACAACACATGTCCCAATCACCTCAACTGGTGAAGTTTCAGCACTTCATCTATTGATCTGCCATTCTTTCCTAGCACCCGTTTCCGAATAAGAGCGTTGCTCACTCGGGTGTCCCAGATTGAATTTAAGATCAGAAATTTTCACAAAAGATAATAATTTCAGAAAAAATATGGTAATCACTAGTATAAATAATTTTTGAAGATTATAGAATTTTCAAAGCTTAAATTACAGATTGATCTGAGCTTATAATGGGAAACCTAAAAGCACTGAACGGAAATTAATCAGTGTGATGAGATTCTTCAGAAGCCTCAATTGGTAGAGTTCAGTTCGTGTTGGGTGTAAAAAACAGTCACTCACCTCAGGCAATGGATGAAGGTTTCAAAATATCATGAATCGGTTGAAGTTAGACATTAACGCCATTGAATCCCAACGAAGTGATGTAGAGGTTGTGTTCGCGTGCTAAGCCCCATAGGTCCTAGTTTTGATCCCTAGTGATGTGGTTCTCATTAGCAACAACGTACTGTGGGCGAGAACAAACCAGATTCCAGTGGAGGAGGAAATCTCGAAGAAGCGGTGGAAGTGGATAGGACACACATTGCGGAAAGCGCCCAACTGCGTCACGAGACAAGCCCTCACATGCAACCTTGAAGGCAAAAGGAAAAGAGGAAGGCCAAAGAACACATTACGCCGAGAAATAGAGAAAAATGTGGGAGGAATGAACAAACATTGGACAGAACTGGAGAGGGAAGCCCAGGGCAGAGTTGGTTGGAGAAAACTGGTGGGCGGCCTATGCTCCATTGTGGGTAACAGGCGTAAGTGAGTAAGTAAGTAAGATGTGGTTCTGGTTGCTTACCACTCAGGAATCCGATACTTGTGGGTGTTTAACAGTAACTTACCTGCATTCAGCTCTTGACTTAAGCTTCGAAAAAGTGGTGGTTGATTTTAAGCTCTTGCTTTCACAAAGGATAAAATCCTATCTCAGTGAATGTTAATTGACAGTCTAATATACAATTAAGCCTTAAGTTCATCAAGTGTACAGCGATATTAAACATATTTCTCGCTTCATTATGAGCACTACTCCAAAAGCAGTTTTCTATTCATGGTTATACCCTAAGCTTTGTGCAATAAAATGTATGAGTCTAAACCAGAAGTTAGCTAAACTGATCAGATAAGAATCATTAAAGCATTTAGTCACCGAATAACTAAGCTCTATGTTTAGTTAAAATTTCCTCTCAAAGAAAACTATACCAAGCATAGATTTTCACAATTCATCTTTCTATTTTAAGTTCATGGCGTAGAAAAGTTATCCTAACTTACTTCACAAAATATTATTACAATCTTTAAAATCGAAACATTAAACTCATAAATAACTGTTAGGATATTCATCCAATATCCTAAGAGTACTATTTTTGAAAGTATAATCCTATTGGTCGATTTCTGTTGGTCAAAATTATGGTCGTTTTAACTGTCAAAGTTAAATACTTCAATGTTGTCTCTGATTGGTCATCCGGACTGTCAATGTCATTTCAAATGTTACTTCCTATTGATCGTCTTAACTGTCGATGCAACAGAATTCGATGCTGTTTCCTGTTCGACCAAGATGTATAAATACGCATTATCTGTAACATTTTATGACCACGATCAGGACCAGGGTTTGGTCCTGGATCCCTAGTCCGGGATCCTGGTTCTCTTCTGGATTCGGACCTCGTACTTTCTGGATGCTTGTAGAATACATGTTCTACTTCATATCACATCTTATTTTTAACTAAATATGGGGGTTGGGGTATTCGGATTTGTGTAGCATGTCGTGTCACCGGATCCTTGATCCTCGCTCTCGCGGTTCCGACTAGGTAAACTCATAATAGTTCAAGTATAACAAGTTGACGTGTTTACGTGCAGGTGTAACAATAACAATGCATAGATTTATGAATTTATAAGAAGTTTACAATTAACATCTATTGCTTCATATAAATATTCGAACTTGATAAAATAAAATTTCTTTCACATACATTAGATAATACAGAAGATATTTCTCCTGAATTTGTATTCGAATCTATTGCTCCACCAAATAGTACACAACCTATTTTTTCTTCATTTTTTACCGGATCACAAACAGATCATCCATTGGATGAATTAAAAGATGCTGTAAATGAAAATGAAATAACGGAACTTGGGTAAGTTAAGTGACTATTTTTTGCTACACTAAACAAAATGGTTTGAAGCAGTTCGTTTCAATTTTTTTGTTGAAAGTGAGTGAACACTACTGAGGAGTAATGAAATAGGATAAACTGGTTATCTGATACTTTCTAGTTTACATTAGTTTTCAGTTAATGTTGAATCTTAGGGAAAACTAATATGGATTGATATCCAAGTTGTCATATATTATTACACAAAGGAATATTCCTGACCGTAGTTGCTAGCTTGACGACTCGAACTATATTAGCTGGAAAATATGTTACTTCAGGTCTTATCATACCAGGCAGGTCTAATGGGAGACGGTAAGACTAAAAGCAGAAGCTTAAAGTTTGAGGGCGAAGTCATACTGCTGACTGCACAGGGGCTGTGACAGCAGTAAGGTGTTTCTGAGATGGTGGAGAAAACTTGTAGCTCAGGTGGATGATTGTGGTGGTGTTTCATTCTCTGAGCTGGTTGTTTTGGTTGTGGAGCTTTGATTGTTCTTCTGAACAACATCATCAGCACAAACTTCCAATAGAAGAAGTGAAGCATTCGAATTTCTCCACGTTTGACCTGTAGCTTGTTCTGCTAACCTCCTGTGACACAGGATCAAGAAACAGATCAAAAGGGGGAGGCAATCAAAACAAAGTTGCAAACAACGACAGGTGAAAGGTCAACAGCGACCAATCAAGATCGAGGTTAGAAAAGGTCGACCGTTCAAATATCCGACCTCACTTTACTCCACAGATTTCCGTCTCCGACAGTAAGGCCTTTTAAAGAGCGGAGCTTACATTTCAAAAATGTCCCATAAAAGGCCATGCATGACCGACTTCAAGCAGTTGCCTGTTGGGCTCTGTGGTCAAGATCCCAGGTCGCTACGATCAATACTAAACCAACTTCCTTTACACGTTCTTCAAGAAATACACTTCCACTCTTCCGGCAGCCAGGAAGTGACACTCACCCTCATACCTGTAACTTCACACGAAGACAACTAGCTCACAATCAAAACCCTTCCTCCACCTCTTAATGTCTCTCGTGTCTCCATGAATTACCCTTGTCGAATGCTTTTATCGCCTCAAGCCACTGATGCCAAAGATTTGATTACATGATTATTATTTCTGATCTCCTGAAAACCCGCCCTAAACTACCTATTGTAGCTTTTAAGGTAAGAACGTTCAGCCAAGTTGGCTGAATCAAATGTGCTATTCAAATTGTCAATTTCATCTCTTTGTACTGATGTACGTACGTGTGAAGTTCTATGTTGTAACTGACTGATTGACTGATTGACTTCCTTTTAAAAATCAAAAATTTATTGTAAGCCGAAAATTTTCTGAATTTACTTTACCATAACTAATAATTATCTGTTTCATATTTTTTGAATTTTGAGGGCATAGTAAAAGTTTTATTGATTGACACCTGTGGTAGGTGCATAATGCCCCGCCCCTGCCCCCTCACAGCAAAATACTCATAAAAAGCTAATTCTTAAAGAGTATCACTCTCTTTTGATAAAAAAACAACCCAGTACCTTTTTTTGAATTATTGATTTTTTGATAATTCAGTTCTCAGGATGATCCAAATGAATTGATTCAGTCACAAAATGTTAATGAAACTATATTTGAAAAACATGAGAATTCAATGATAAATACAAGTAAAGATGAAGACGAGATCAATTCAGATATAGAAGATGAAATTCAATTCAATTCAAACCATATTCCAACAACATTAATGAAAGTAGGTTGGTTAATTTAACGAAGAATATATGTGTCTACACACACCTATCAATCAATCTGTCTTTTAACCTATTTATATTAATTGCAACTGTTGATTTGTTTAATTTCTAAATAAAAGTATTAGTGAAATTACAAAATTGATTAATTTTTTTTACAAAGTTCAGTTTAACTACTATTTTTAAATTCAGTAGACTAATCATAATGTATTGTTTTTTTGGCTGTGATTATGATAAGGATCAATACTTTATATTACTAAACTCATGAATCAATCACTGTTAGACTATAATTAGAAACCCAGGAAGCACTGGACGGCCGTTTCATCCTGGGATGGAAGTACTTATCAGCAGTGCGCATCCACAACTCGAACCCAGGACCTTCGGCCTTGCGTGCGAACGCTTAATCTCTTTATTAATGTGCTCAGTGGGTGCGACTAGAGGAGTTCGACCGTGTCAGATGTAGGCAGTAACTACCAAAGACAAATGTATGAGGTTGCTCAAAATCTCTATGTTGGCCAGTGTTAGACATGAACACCACTGGATGCTGACCTAGTGGTCTATAGGTTCGGCGTTCGCGCGTAAGACCGAAGGTCCTTGGGTTCCAATCCTATGAGTAGCAAGATTTGTGGATTCGCACTGCTGATAAGTTCCATACGAGGACGAAACGGGTTGTAAGGGAGATTAGTAGAAGTAATTTTTTCTGGTTCCTAAACAAGATACATATCATATGTGCAGTAAATCACTTTATAAAAATGGTCGACCAACTCACTGAAATTAATCTTAGATGAATGATTTGCTCCAAATTATGATTTTTGCACTTTCGGAGTCACTTTTGTGATGCTGTTCGCCCAGTTGTCCAGTGCTTCTTGATTTTCAGTTTCATCTCGGCCAACATTAGGTAGTGATCTGAAGTGATGTCGGATCCTCTCTTGGTTCTTACGTCCATCATGGTACTTATGAACTTTTTATTGATGCAGATATGGTCGATTTGGTTCTGTGTAGTGTGGTCCGGTGAAATCTATGTAACTTTGTGTATGCGTTTGTGTGGAATATGGTACCATTTATAAGTGTTTTGTTGCAGGCACATAGATTTGGCAATCTATTATAGTTATCATTTCTTTCTCCCAATTCATGTTATCCCATGATGTCTGTATATCCAATGTTATCCATTCCAACCGTGACGTTTAGGTCTTCTCGGCAACCTCTAATAGAATGGATCTGTATCGTCCTCACTGTTATCATCGTTAGGGTCATAATATCACTGGATGAAGTTCATTATAAACCGTCGTTCTCTGTCTTGAAGGATGTTTTGATACTGGGTGCATAAGATTCCCATCCAACAAGTACTTTTTGTGCTTCATTTGAAAGCATCAGTTTGACTACTTGTGTTAGTAAGGCATTTTCTTCTTGATGGTCTGAATATAACAGCAGCATTTCTCTTTAAGCTAGTCGTTTTTGTCCAGTCTGCCTTCAAAGTGTTTCGCTGATTTCAAGTCGCGCCAGGTTGTATTTTTTCATTTTGTTAACAACTTGGATCACTCTCCCGATTTCCCACAATGTGCGAACATTCCATAAGCCTATAATAATGGTTGCTTTGGTTGCCTAAACTCGACTAAACTCGGCTTTCATCACGAGGCATCAGAACCCTTCTAAGGGAAGGCATTCCAACTAATAGGGTAGAGTTTAAATCAATTTCTGGTCAGAGTTTTTTTTGTAGCGAGTTAGTTTTTTACTGGACAGAGTCACTAACCTCATGCCTAACCATCTTCATTTAGATGAGCTTAGGACCAGTATTAGTGTAGTGAACGAGAACACAGGTGGGGCAACCGAATTGTATTTAACGAAAATTACAGAGTTACTGAGTAAAATCGGAAAACCATATCGTAAATCGTTCATTTGCAAAATATCAGTTCATCATATCGAACTGGACTGTTGTTCCTGTTGCAAAACATCAATCCATTGTCACTATTCATGCGTTTCATACAAATTCCATTGTGTTCTTCTAACTCTTTAGTTTTCTTGATCTTCCCCCATCTTCTGCTGTCAGACATTACGTTTACACTCACGTCATATACTACTTATAAGTAGCGCGCACCACAGTAGGGCAAGAGGGGCTCCAGGAGGAATTAGATTTCTATTTTAAACATTTAACGGATTTTTTTCGTTTATTTTGTACTTCTCTTCAGAATGATTCAAATGATATCAATGAGTCTAATGATCACGATGATCACAATGATGATGACGATGATGACGTATTCCTAAATCCACCATCCAATCATGATCACGATACAGATGATACAGTTCAAATAGAACATGATGATGATCATGATCATGATCATGAAGAAGACGACATTCATAATGAATCAATCAAACATAAAGAAACTAATCGTTTTCATGTAAATCAATTAGACACTGATGATCATATTCCACTGAAAAGAAACTATACATTCAAATCATTCGAGCTATCTATTTCAGCTTTAGATGGAATTACATCAAAATTTCCTGTATTATCAAGACGTAAAACATTACCTATGATAAAAAGAAAATCTAAGTAAGTAAGGAATGTATAAATATTTTCTTTTTTTAAAATTGTAAATGTTACTCGATAGTTGAAAACGTGTATTACTAATTAGCTTAGAGTCAAAATAGACAAGTATACATTATACATTTTGAAACCATGAATCGATCAGTTTTAGACCACCATTAGAAACCTGTAAGCACTGGATGGCCGTTTCACCCCACTATGGGACTCGGTAGAAGTGCGCATCTAAAATTCCTGCACCTTGCAGGATTCGAACGCAGGACTTTCGATCTTGTGCGCGAACGCGAAACAGCCGTCCAATGCTTCCAGGTTTCTAATGGTGGTTTAACATTGATTGATTCATGGTTTCGAAAATGTGTAACTTAACAATCTTTACAACCCCATAATGCAAGTATACATTCTGTCATTAAACAGTATGTTAATTAAAAGGAAATATTTGTTGACTTACTACGCCTAACTACAATACATGAATATTTCGAATTTGTCAAATGAGTTAACAAGAGCTGGTGTTTGTTGCTGTGTTTATCTGTTTGTACTGAATTGAGATTAGACCAAAGATTAACCAATTAAACTTTGAACTTATGATAAATTTGAAATTGATAAATTGATTGGTTATATTCAATTTTGAAGGCTTTATTTGTGAAAATCCCTCTCCATGGTATACATTTGTCATTTGTCCTTATTGATTACTTTAGTTGTTCATTTCGTTAATCTGTTCTATTCCATTTCGGAGATGATAATATTTGTATTTTATTATTATAGTTTCTATTTCTTCTTCTGCCTTTACTGAGTTTCTATGTTTCCTTGTGAACTGCATTTATGTTGTTTAAGTTGATAGTCTTAGTCATGGCGACAGCCATATTGACTTGTTCCTCTTTTGATTGTGTTGCCTGCATGGACTGGAATTGTGCATTTTGATTGTGAACTGAAGCACTCTTCCAGAATAGGAAACACTCTCTGTTATAAAGCAACCAAATATTATCTGTCGAACGAATCTGATCTAATCAGGTGGGATAGAATATCATTGATTGGAATAATTGAACAATTGTTGGTAGAATTACTAAGTGGTAATATTTGTTTAGGTAATGATGTGTATATTTTTATTTATGATGAATATTAGAATCGCTATTTACCGAAATCACTTGTTTCGGATTTCGACTGGGTCAAGACGCGTATCTAAACTACCTAGACAGTGTTATTCCTCAATCCAAACCTCATTTTGGATCGTACACTAACAATCAGTCCAGTGTAATGCAATGAAAAATCATTAAGACTTATAGCCATGTTGCAATAATAATCTTTATAACTGGATCAGTTCCATGGACTAGACAGTAAATTATTAATTCATACTCATTGATCATTGAATCTATCTGTTTCAATTTTACAAAAAAATGCTCGGTAACAATTTGAATTATTAATTGGACATATCTCTTTTGATTGTACTGCTAGACGATATGAGTTTATATATATCTCATGGTAGACATATTTATTTTTTTCTCAAAAGACTTCATTGAAAACTTGCTAATTGATGAATGTTAACTAGCATGAAACATAGAAATAGAACTTCCTCCTAAATAAATTCAGGCACATAGTGTTTTTGAAGTCTATCTTATAAAATATATCAGTAAAGAGTTGTAAAGATTGGTGAATTACATTAAATGTATGAACCGATCTAAGATCTAAGATCACTTTTTAAAAACCTTCAAGGTATTGGATACGATTCTTGCATATGGGATCGTGCATGTGTATTGTTGAGGAGTCCCATACTAGGACGAAACGTCTGTTCATTACTTCCAAGTTTTCAATGGTGGTCTAACTTAGATCAGCTCATAATTTCAAAGGAATAAAGTTGTTTTTAGGACATAAGTACAGAGGTTAGACCATCTGTCATTTATCCGTAAATGTTGAAAGTAAGAGATAATGGATAAATCGTTGTTAAGTCATAGTTTCATGATGTAAGTAAGCTCTCTTTCTTTTTCTCTTAAAAATACCATGTTTTTGATAGTTAAACTTAAAATTCATGAAAAAAAAAATTTTTTTCCCCCAGAAAACCATCTACAATAAGTCCAAATCAAGTACAAATACGTGGAAAACGATTTAAATCTGACAATAATGATTATTCTACATTAGAAGAAGAATTACTACCATTAAAGTTACCACCAATCAATTCAAAATATTCACATGAACAATCATCATTGATTCAAACAAATGAAAAACAGCATGACAAATTAAAACAAAATTCTAATGACAGTAATCATCATCATGATGATGGCGATGATGTTGATAATCAAAGTGAAGAAGAAAATGTCATCATTAATATTGAACATAGTTTATCATTTAATACACCAGTTCAATGTTCAATGGAAACAGTGAACATTGAAGAATATAATACCGCTGGTATTGTTTATGTGATTTTTTTTGTTTCATTTAATTTTTTTCGTTTGTTGTTGCTTATTTTATCATATTTCTAATGAAGTTGATAGGTAGGCTATACAAATCCTGCGGTTTTCAAGTCTTCAAATATTCCAATACGACCCAAAATACTATTCCATCGTGATATGTTCGGCACTTAGGATGCTTGAGGCTATTACGAGTTTACCTTAGTCGATAAACGCGAACGAGACTTTACCAGCTTCCAGGAAGGCTACCCTGAATCCCAGAATCGAAATAGAAGACTTTGTAGGCGTAGAAAGTATATTCTACAAACACCCAGCAATCCAGTACAATCAAGCATACAACTCTCGTTTATTTATACAACATAACAACGTCCTTGAGACAGTTAAGAAAATAGCATACTAAAATACACTGTAGCCAATCACAGCCATTGATTTTCCTGGTGGGAATTGAAATCTCAAGGTCATTTGATCAGCCCCTGCTGGCGAACGTGAAAACCAAAATACGGCATTATCAAGCGAATTTTGGGGATCTAACATCCCCAACACATCGTTGGATGGATGGAGTTGTTTATTGGGTCGAGTACAGAAGAGAGAGGATGACAGGAAGGAACGGAATCGGAATCATGAAATCTTACAGTTAGTGCGTATTTATACATTTAGGTCGAATAGGAAAGAGCATCGAAGTCTGTGACATTGATAGTTTAGGATGACGACCAATAGGAAAGAACATTTGAAATGACATTGACAGTTTAGGACGACCAATAGGAAAGAACATTTGAAATGACATTGACAGTTTAGGACGACCAATAGGAAAGAACATTTGAAATGACATTGACAGTTTAGGACGACCAATAGGAAAGAACATTTGAAATGACATTGACAGTTCGGATGACCAATCAGAGACAACATTGGAGTATTTGACTTTGAGAGTTAAAACGATCATATTTTTGACCAATAGGATTATACTTCCAAAAATAGTAAGTACTCTTAGGATATTTGGTGAATATCCTAACACATCCTATCTGGGTTTGATGAACTGAATGTATCTAACTTTCGTGTCCAACCCATACTCATTGTTCACTGAGCTACTTAGTGCAAATAATTACTGCAAGCTAAAGTCAGTCAGTCAGTCAGTTACAATGAAGAACTTGGTACTTATGTTCATCATTTCAAGTTGCCATAACACATGAACATAAAGAAATGGGATTGTTGATTCAAATCCCACGGTAGTAGAGGTGGTGACAATATTAGCGGTAATCTAAAAGATTAGGGACCAAGTATACGATTCAGGAAGTAAAATACAGTGAATCAACTTTAAAAAGAGAAAAACAGTCGTGGGGAATTTAGAAGATTATATTTTGAGAGAAGACGGAGAATGAATGCATCAGTGCGATCGCAAACGATTTTGAGCCATGCCGTTCAAGGTCTCGAGGACCCAAACCAGGTAGTCTATATCTACCCTCATGGCTCAGTAAACTTATCAATGACTTCATGGATCCGTGACATATTTCGGACTGGCCACCCTTAGTTTTTTTCCAACTTACCCTTACACAACGAAGTAGTCAGTGGTTGGTCATTCGTAACACATGTTCCAACCACCTCAACTGATAAAGTTTCAATACTTACCTAGTACACATTTCCTAACAACTGTATTGTTTACTCTATAGTCCCGAGATAAACAAGCGAGATATCGAAGATCAAATACTAATAGCCTACGAATATCGTCTACTGTTTCTGGCAATGTTTCGCATTCATAAAGTAGAACGAATCGAATTGTTGTGTAGTACACTCGTCCTTCGTTTAGTCGACGAAAAGCTCGCCTACTCCATAAGAGATGCAACTTGGCAAAAGCTAGTCGAGCATTCTGTATCCGCACCGAGATTTCGTTACGTACCAGACAATCAGCACTGATGAGACCACAGGGATAAGTGAAGCGGTCAACACGCTCAGCTACACTCCCTATCACTAGTTCAGGTACCGATACAAGTCAATATTGAAGCAGCCTTTTGTATTTCCATAGGGCGAACCGTATCACGAACTTGCCTGCATTGTCGCTTAAGGTGGTCAGAAGACTCTGAATTCTGTCAACGTCTTCACCAAACAGAACTCTGTAATCTGCATACTCTAATTCGGCAAGCGAGTTTTCTGGTAGAAGGTCCACTCCTGAAAATGCAGATGAAGATAATGTTATATCTAGTAGCATGTCTATGACAAAATTTAACACGAATGGAGAAAGTAGTCATCCCTGATGGACATCACCTGAAGTAATTAATTCCGCTGATAGTTCACCATAAGCTGTTACTCGGCCAGTAGTGTTCGAGCAGAGAACCTGTACAAGGTAAATGTACTTGTTCGGTACGCCTTTCAGTGACAGACATTGCCACAGAACCTCACGATCAACTGTGTCAGACACCGCCTTAATGCCAAGCAATACAATTTGTGTGTCTATGTTCTAGGACCTGAATATTTGGTCTACATATCCACATCTATGCCTAAAACCAGACTTATTTGCTTGAGTTCGCTCTTCACGAGCTGTAGTTGTGCGTTGAAGCATTATTCAAGCTAGTATTTTAGATACTTTATTGGTTACATTGATTTCTCTATGACTGTCACAAGAGGAAATTTGTCTTTTCTTATGGACAGAGACGATGAGCGACCGAAACCTGTCAGATCAGATTACATCTAGTTCTCTGATTCGAGCTAAAATCTCAGTTACCCTAACTGATGAAACTGGACCCTCGTCCTTAAAAATTCCAGTTGTTATTCTACCTAACCATGCTGATCTCCATAGCTTGAGATCGCGTATATAATTTTAGACCTCATTGAAAATTGGAGAACTTACATCAATCTACCATTCAGATTGACTGAATACGTTTGGCAACTGAAGTGTAGCTGAATGCCATTTGTTATGTTCGTTAAAGTGTTATGTCCATTGCTCTAAACTCCTGGATTCAGAGTGAAAAAAAATTCAGTCTTTTTCTAATGCCAGTTTCCTAGATAAGTGTGAATAGCTGTCTACTGTCACCTATCACCTATTCTTTTGCAATCTCTTTGATTTCGCTCCCCTCCACTGTTCACGATCATTGTGTTGGCTTCCTATCAGCTTGTGTCTGAGATGCCTCTGCTCGTCTCCGTGTTTACAGCTGTATGGGAAGAGTTTCCGAGCATCTATGAGGTCAGTAGACACTACTGAAATCCACAGCTTCTCTCTCACCTTTTGGTTTAACTCACAGGCAGATATCACTGCTGTTTCCACATTATTCTGACTGTCGTCCTAAGCTACCTTGGGGTGGATATCGCTCACATAGCTGTCTAACTGTTTTCTAGTAACTCTCGAATTAAACATTTGGTATTTTTTTATCGTTAAGTGCAATTCTAAGGTGTTTCCTTGTTGTGTGTTTGTTACACGTGGTAAGTCCCCGACAAATACGTTCTCGTACTAGAGCATGATGTGAATCTAAACATATGCTCCAGAATGGGCGGCATTCTTCTACTAAGTCGCCATATCAATTGTCTGGTTGGGTCTAACGTACAGTCGATTATGAAGGTCGTCATGTCGAAAGATGTTTTTCCTGATGTCTAAAGTTGGCATTTGCCGAGAAACAGGCGGTTGGTTACCTGAGCGTAGTTGCAGCAGGCGGTCAGTATTATTTGTTCCATGAGAAGCGATACCTTAAGATTCATCCAGGCGTCTTTTAGTTTTTGAGAGAAATTTGCTGGGTTTGAATTTGATTGCGATCTAAACTAGACAACTGTTCGCCAGGTGCTCATCTAATATATGGGAGCGATGTATATATATATATATATATATATATATATATATATATATATATATATATATATATATATATATATATATATATATATATATATATATATATTGATTTATATTCATAAAACTATATTTCAATAACCTAGTTTACAAAACAATACTTTTTCTGAAATCATCAATTAACCATTGTCAAACCACCATTAGAAACCTGTAAGCACTGGACGGCCGTTTCGTCCCAGTATGAGACTCCTCAGCAGTGCGCACCCACGACTCCTGAACCCCTCAGGATTCGAACCCAGGACCTTCGGTATTGTGCGCGAATGTCCTAACCGTTAGACCACTGAGTCGGTAACTAACGAGGTGCAGGAGTCGTGGATGCGCATTGCTACTGATGAGTCCCATACTAGGACGAAACGGCCATCCAGTGCTTCCAGGTTTCTTCTAATGGTAGTCTAACATTGATCGATTCATGGTTTCAAAAAATGTGTAACTTAACAATCTTCACAACCCCGTAATGCAAATACTTTTTCTCTCTCTTTTAAACAGATTTTGAAGAAACAAATCAAGTTGAAATGTCAACATTGGATACGTCTGATCATCATGTATATTCTGATGATCATACTGATGCTGATGATTTGAACAAACCATTATTGGAACATGACAGTGATAACATTTTAACAAAACCTAACGATTTTGCCAATAAACAACGACATAGTATTCGAATTAACTTGGAACCAATTCTTCCAGTGATTGAAACTAATAATAATAATTTAACAATGTTTGGAGGAACTTCCAGGAGAAATTCTATTCCATTAAAATTTACAAAATCAATAGGCGCCAATTGGCCACATAAAACTGCGCGCTCTGATAAAGAAAATGTACAATTTGCTTTTGTTCCAATTAATGAATTGGATGTACCAGACTATTCACCGAATGAAATCATTGAAAAACCAGTCGAATCAAAATGTATGTATCCATGATATAGATCTATCTGTTATCATTTGTATAAATATAAATTCGAATAGAGAAATAAGAAGACATATTTTGTGAGATAGTGGTACCATTTCGTGCTTTCTCGTCAGTCATATACATACAAGCAACATGTTATTCGTGTGTAAATACAGTTTTGAAGATAAGGTCACTTAAATCAAGACACTTAAATCAAACGGATATCCCGAAACGTTTATAAGTCATCAGAACACAACTACGACGAAACTGATAGCAACTGATGTGCCCAATAAATCAGTGTACCTACAGTAGTTACCTTTCAAGGGTGATCATTGCATGAAGATTACAACCAAACAGACTGCAGCTGCAATAAAAAACCCTCAAGGCAGCTAATCTGAGGCTTATCACAACAACTCAATCGATCTCAGTTACCCCAATCAAGTCTCCAAGATTGATTCAGTTCAAATCCCACTGTATTTACCAATTCAAATGTAACTGTGGAGAAAGTTACTTAGGGAGGATAGATCGCCGATTGAAAGACAGGATAGGAGAACATATTCCAAAATGGTTAATCAAATCCATCATTCACCCACCTAGCCCGTGATCTCAAGATTGATCAAGAAACCCAGCCTCGTCCATTGCAAAACATCTAATCATGAGTGATCATCAAATTGACCCAAAATCAGCCTTTATAGAGTTGTGACATGTCATCAAAACCCACACACACTCAAACTACTCGAATCTATCTTGATTGATCGGAATAGTGCAACTTTATGTGTTCAAAAACTACTGAATGTTGACTTTTGTTTACCATGGTTCTAGTCATGCTAAATAAGAACTGTTGGCCTTATCTTCAAAACTGTATTTACACACGAATAACATGTTGCTTGTATGTGATTGACGAGAAATGGTACACGAAATGGTAACACTATCTCACAAAATATGTCTTCTCATTTCTCTATTCAAATTTATTAAAGGAAACAGCTGTTTTTAATATAAGTTCATTAAAAAATGTCCATAAGTTAAAGTCAGTTGGAAAAATAGTTATGATCAAAATGACTAGGGTTTTTTGGTTATGAGCTTGACAGTAAGGTTTGGTTGTTTTCCCACAAAAAATTGACTATTCATTATGCTCAAATCTATGTGGATTTATCTTCTTGATAAGTGTCATTTAGTACTACCAAATCTAAATGAAACATATGTCATCGATTTTCTCCAGCCATCCAATAGCAAAGGGAACCATGATATGGATTTCTTAGGGCATATAGCCCCAATAGTATTCAGTTGTAGTGAAGGAGAACACAGGTGAGGGCAACCAAATTGTATTTAACGAAAATTACAGTGTTACTCAGTAAAATAGGAAAACCATATCGTAAATTGTTAATTTGCAAAATAACAGTTCATCATCATATCGAACTGGACTGTTCCTGTTGCAAAACATCAACAATCCATTGTCACTATTCATGCGTTTCATACAAATCCCATTGTGTTCTAACTCTTCCTTTCTTGATTTTCCCCCATCTTCTGCTGCCAGACATTACGTTGACACTCACGTCATATACTACTTATAAGTAGCTCATACCACACTACTAAATCTAAATGAAACACATATCATCGATTTTCTCCAGCCATCCAATAGCAAAAGGAACCATAATATGGATTTCTTAGGGCCTATAGCCTCATTAGAAAAAAAATAGACTGATTATATTCAGTTATCAATAAGTATTGATTAATGCTGATTAGTAATTACTTCAATTATTTTTTCTGGTCAGAGTACTCAATGGAGAGGACGCAACATTCGAGAATAATTGGAAAGAGATTAAGGAGGCAATCACTTCAACATGTCACGAAGTTCTGGGTCACAAGAAGTACCATCATAAGGAATGGATCTTTGTTGAGACTCTTGAGACTCTTTCGAGGTGAAGACCGGTGTGAGGCAAGGTTGCTTACTCTCACCCTTTCTCTTTCTCCTGGTCTTTGACTGGATTATGAAAGCGTCGACTTCTGGAGGGAAGCACGGTATCAACTGGACAGTTAGGACGCAGCTGAACGATCTGGCTCTTCTATCTCACACGCAACAACAAATGCAAGAGAAGACGACCAGTGTAGCAGCAGCCTCTGCAGCAGTAGGTCTCAATTTACATAAAGGAAAAATAAAAATTCTCCGATGCAACACAACATGCGTCAACCAAATCACTGTTGATGGAGATGCTTTGGAGGACGTTAACACCTTTACATATCTTGACAGCATCATCGACGAGAAAGGTGGATCCGATGCAGATGTGAGGGCACGGATTGGCAAAGCAACGGCTGCATTTCTACAGTTGAAAAATATCTGGAACTCCAAACAACTTTCAACCAAAACCAAAATCAGCATTTTCAATACAAATGTGAAGACAGTTCTACTGTATGGAGTGGAAACTTGGAGAACTACGAAAGGCATCATCCAGAAGATACAAGTATTTATGAACAGTTGTCTACGCAAAATACTTCGTATTCGTTGGCCAGAGACCATCAGCAACAACGTACAGTGGGAGAGAACAAACCAGATTCCAGTGGAGGAGGAAATCAGGAAGAAATGGTGGAAGTGGATAGGACACACACTACGAAAAGCACCTAACTGCATCACGAGACAAGCCCTCACATGGAACCCTCAAGGCAAAATGAAAAAAGGAAGGCCAAGGAACACATTAGCGCCGAGAAATAGAGAAAGACATGAGAGGAATGAACAAACATTGGACAGAACTGGATAGGGAAGCCCAGGACAGAGTTGGTTGGAGAAAACTGGTGGGAAGCCTATGCTCAATTGGGGGTAACAGGCGTTAGTAAGTAACTACGTAAGTTATTACTTGATAAGTTAGTTTACTATACAACACATAAACCAATCTTTCTCGTTTGTTTTTTTTTTGAATTTTCAGCTGAACGTTTAACTGTAAGAAAACATCCAGTTGGTCAAATTACACAATCACATTCTGATATATTGGAAGGAACAGTATTAGATTCATTAAAAAAAATTCAAAAACCTGTTAAACAAAACATTCAAACACAAAATACAACAATAAAAAGAGGTGATTATTTGTTTCAAATCTATTTTTATAACTATTTATTCCTTGAAAAATCATGAAGTGAACATAGTTTGAAGATTGTAAGAAATCTGGAAGCATTCGTCCTAGTGTGGAACTCACTGGCAGTGCACATCCTGGATCCCCCTGCTTACGGGAATGAAACCTAGGCCCTTAGCACTAGAAAACGTTTCTGGGATTCATGTTAGAGTCTAACTTTAACCAATCCAAAGTATTGTACAGTCTCCTCTGTAATCTTTGGTACGTGAATGCGTACACCGGACAGGGTTGAACTCCACTAGTCACCACTTTTTACTAGAACTTCGAGAATTTACTCAAGAAGCTAGTCAATCTATAATGAAAATCATAAAAATTGTTCTCACTAGTAATCAAGTATATGATATGTCTTCAGATAATGTGTAAATGAAATGCAGTAACAAACACATCCATATAAATATTGAAGCTGAGGAGTGCGATACTAGGACGAAACGGCCGTCATTCAGTGCTTCCAGGTTTCTAATGGTGGTCTAACATTGATCGATTCATGGTTACAAGTAAAAAAGTTAGTTGTAAAATTAATATATCAGTAAATTAATATATGCAGTAAAACTGAACTATTTCCATAGATCCTATGCAAAATCTGGGATAAATGTTCTTGACTACACTGAATGAGAGAAGATGAATAACAAATTTTCATTTCGTACGATGTGAAATAATGATGACATCGAATCATTTTGACTTAAATTTCGTTCAACTACTTCCTTTTACTTAGTAGTATAAAAGATATTAAATCATATGTGCTGTCATGTGATAAAAGCGATTCATACTGTCTAGTCATACACCTGTGTGTAGGTTTTTTTTCATATTCTTTTAATTCCAACGGTACATTTATGATTGGTAATCATTTTCCTCACGTGATCTACTAGTGCTCAACTCATTAGTCTAATTGTAACACACTAGCAGCATCATCCTTGTCAGGTATAGTTTATGCACATTGTTAACTCATGAGCTGAAAACAGCTGTTTAGTGTTAGCCGGTTTTCAATTGTTGTAATGATAAGTTCAATTAGTTATTCAAAACTGATATCTCTTCATTAATAACACTTCCAATGGAAAATTACCAACAGTGATACTACATAGTCGAATTTGCGATGGTCGCTAAAATTCTACAAGTATCAATCCTGTCTTGCCCCGGTGACCTTCATTTTTGTGAGTTTATCACGTAAAATTGTGGTCAAAGTACTAACATCTCAATTCTTTCTTACTTCTTAGCTTTATTCAACTACTTCATATTCTAATTTCTGCTTCGAAAAGGTTTTCTGTTTCCATGCCCTCAGATATTTAACTTATAAATGAGAGAGCGTTTTTATAACATTTTTAAACTCGTGTTTATTCTTAATGTTTCCAATATTATTGAATGTACACTTGTTTCCTTTTCTTTTTAATGAATGACAGAGTGATTTTAATGTTGTTGTAAGCAGTTGAAAGGGAGAATGCAAGAATATGAATGAATTCTTGTCATTCTGCTACGATATTTGTTCTTTCTTTTATTCAAAACTTACTTACTTACTTACTTACTTACGCCTGTAACCCCCAATGGAGCATAGGCCGCCCAACAGTTTTCTCCAACCAACTCTGTCTGTCCTGGGCTTCCCTCTCCAGTTCTGTCCAATCTTTGTTCATTCTTCTCATATCTTTCTCTATTTCTCGGCGTAATGTGTTCCTTTGCCTTCCTCTTTTCCTTTTGCCTTCAAGGTTGCATGTGAGGGCTTGTCTCGTGACGCAGTTAGGTGCTTTTTGTAGTGTGTGTCCTATCCACTTCCACCGCTTCTTCTGATTTCCTCCTACACTGCAGTCTGGTTTGTTCTACCCCACAGTAGATTGTTGCTGATGGTGTCTGGTCAACGAATCCGAAGTATTTTGCGTCGACAACTGTTAATAAACACTTGTATCTTCCGAATGATGCCTTTCGTAGTTCTCCAAGTTTCCGATCCATGCAGTAGGACTGTCTTGAAATTCATATTGAAAATGCTGATTTTGGTTTTGGTTGAAAGTTGTTTGTTCAAAACTTACAAGATTTGATTTCTTTTGAGAATGTCAGTTATCAAATTGACAATGCTTTTCGTGATTTTGTAGAAGATTCTCTTCCTTGTTAGTTATTTAATTATACATGCAAACTTGACAGTTATTAATAAGTGTTAACTTACAGTGAACATCTCAGATGCGACTATGGAGTACTACTGTTAGTAATTTTTGTTTAAAATCGTTACTAATAAACAGTTATCAGTTTTGAATAACTAACTGAACTTACTATAACGACAATTGAAGACTAGCTAACAGGAAACAGCTGTTTTCAGCTCGCGAGTTACCAATGTGCATAAACGAACCTAATAGGAATGATTCTGCTAGCGTGTTACATTTAGACCATTGAGTTGGGCTTTAGTAGTTTACAATTCTAGCTCCAATCAACTGTGGAAAAAAACACCCTTTCAGTGCTATGGTTTATCACAGGCCATATGACTAATAATTAGACCTAACTGCATCCGTAGTAGTTAAGATAATATGTAAATATAATGAGGAAAAAAATTGTTTTTACATATCAATAAGTCATTGAAGTTAGCAAAGTACGCCATTGGATTCAAACTCACTAGTACTTCACTATCTATCCATTGTATTTTGTGTTTTTTTCGGGATACTAACGCCTTAATAATCATTCAATCAAACTCCAGATGAAAGAGAAAGGGTCAAAATCAGTAATCTTTTCTAACACTGATCTTAACTTGGAATGTATACCTCCAAGATGTCAATGCTGCTTAGATTGCCGGCGGGTTCAGTGCTGCTGGTCTATTCAAGAACTTCTTAAAGTGCTCTACCGACCTGTGTCGCTCTTCTTCAATATCGATGATTACTTTGCCTTGCTGAATCTTCATAGGTCTCTCTGGTTTACGATAATTCCCAATGATCCTGTTCGTTGTATCGTACAGGTGTCTTACGTTCCGTTCTCTTTTAGCTGCTTTTGCTATCGTTGTCAGGTATTAGCGTTTACTAACTTTATTGCTTCTCTTCACTTGCTTGTTCGTTTCCGTGTTTTCAGCTTGTACCTTGGCTTTCTCTGCTGTTGTTCGGCTGTGATTAATTTCTGTCTTCCTGTTCTTCTTTTTTTGATTCTTATCCACAGCATAAACACAGATCCATTCTTTGTGATTGTAGCCCAGAACCTCATGACATGCTGAAGTCATTGCTTCCTTGATCCCCTCTTTCTAGTTGTTCTCCATGGTAGATTTCTTTCCACTGAGTAGATCGTGAAAAGCCTGGGACCTGTTGTACAAGGCTATCTTGAATTCGTCTAGTATGCCAATATCTCGTAGAAAGGCCGTACTAAACTTTTGTGGTGCTGATTACCCAGTTTTCCAGTGCTTCTTGAGTTTCAGTTTCATCTTGGCCGCCCCTAGGTGTTGATCTGAATCGATGTGAAATCCTATCTTGATTCTTACGTCCATCATGGTCCTTCTTAACTTTTTACTGCTGCAGATATGGTCGGTTTGGTTCTGTGTATTGTGATCCGGTGAAATCCATGTAGATTTATGTATGCGTTTGTATGAGAATATGTTGTCGCGTATGACCAGTTTGTTGAAGGCACATAGATTTGCTTATCTCTTTACCGTTTTTGGTTATTTCTCACAATCAATCTCGTCACATGATGTCTTCACATTCAGTTTTTTGCATTCCAACCAGGAATCTTAGGTATCCTATACGCATCGTCGGGGTGATTTTCTGAACATTTCTTCACGATTGACAACATTCTCATAAAAGTGATTTTTATCATCTCCAGTGGCAGCGAATTACTTTCTCAGCAGTATATAACTTCTCAGAAGTGGGCTACCATGGCTTCCCCCAGACACTTAACCAAAGACATTCATTTGATTACACCTATTCGATATCAACTGAATTCATACATTACTTTTAACAACCACTATTTCCTTCTCAATCTATTTTAGTTTTACTTGTCATTAGTGTTAAGTAGAAATTGAAAAAGCTCTCCTTAAGTTAATCAACATTAAAATTGACTATATAATTCTGCTGGAATGATTTCATAGATATTATCTTGTAGTGCCTCCACATATATTCCAGTTCGCTTAAAACTAACTTGGTTGAGCCCTTTAGAATAATAATTCATTTAACCAAGCCATTCGCGTAGCAACAACTTATGTGTACCATTCTTTCTTATTGACTGGTTTGTATGAGCTCACATGACATGTTCCACTTGTCATTTGACCTTGTCAACTATTCGTCGCTTTTATTCATGTGTGCCGATTTCGATTGTTGCATGTCTGTCTTATTTTTCTCTGACTATATATTCTTAGTCATGCTTTATCTCTTTGAGTTGGCTCATTAGCCTTCTTCAACGCGCTTCGCCTGTTCATCCGCTTCCTTCGCCCATTCGTTCGCATTGTAATCCAAGGAGTTGGCTCAAAAGCCTTCTCCAGTTCACGTCGTTTCATTCGTTTTATTCACTGCTTCTTCGCTTCACTTTAGGGTGTGTCCCGAATAAAGGTATTCATCACTACGAGTTCATGTTCTGATTCAGAAACCGTCAGACGCTATTTGGCAACGATTGTCTGAACGAGTTAATTACCGAGCTTAAGAACACGCAATAAATTGACACACAACAATCTAACTCTTATTATTATTATTATCAAAATGCTAATTAAAACTACTATTCATTAATAATAATCTTCTTCATTTGTAATATCCTTTAAATACATACTCTAGATAGGATGCGGTATGCATCATCTTATGCTCAGTTCAATAATAATAGTGTGGTGTGTCGGTTTACTGCGTGTTCTTAAGCTCGGTTTATAAATCAGAAGATGAATTCGTAGTGATGAATACGTTTATTCAGAACACACCACAAAGCGAAGCGGAGAAGCAGTGAATAAAACGAATGGATAGGCGAAGCGAATCGGAGAAGGCTAAGAGCCAACTCCAAGAGATAGAACATGACTGAGAATATATAGTCAGACAAATATAAGACAGGTATGCACACACATGAATAAAAGAGACAAGGTCAAAAGCAAGCGATATCAATCATGTGAGTTCATAGGGATATTAAGAGATTAACATTAAAGCGAAAAGAAAGAGTAAGCGCGTAGGCGTAAACAATGCTCAGTCGTATAAGCTCAAACAAAGCAGATAATAAAAAATAACAATGGTACATATGAGTTGTTGCTATACAAATGGCTTGGTTAAAGAAATTAATCGAAAGGGCTTAAGCAAATTAAATGTAAGCGGATGCAAATAAATGTGGAGGCACTACAATACAATAGAATAGTTTTACTTATTCTTACCTATCTATCTGTTTTATTTTTAATTTTCAGCTATAAAACCCCGTCCTAATCCTGATGATTTTTGTATGACAATGTGGAGTTATCAAGAAGTAAGACAAGAAGAAGGTAATTTGACACACAAAAAACACAAATTTAAATAACATGTTTATTTTTTTTAAATGATGTATACTTTTTCTGTGTGGTAATATTGTGGTGTGTGCTACTTATACGAACGATATAAGTAGTATAAGAATGGGGACGTGAAAGAAGAAGTCTCACGGTCAGAAGAGGAAAACGGAAAGCAAATGGAACAAAAGCAAGAATTAAATGGAGTACCAACAGAGGAAGGAAAGGAAGCAACAACAGGAATGGAAGAAGGCTGGAGCGTTGGAAGTTAGGACTCAAAGATGGTGTGCAAATAGAGTATTCAATGTAATGTTTTCGTTTTTAATTGACTCATAGTGTAAATATTATTCATTGATATAGACATCTATAATCATTGGTTAAATCGATAAGCATTATTTTAGCGGGTTACTTTTCTACAGGACGAGGGTCATTAACTCCATGACCAACCCATCTCCTTTATCTGGGCTTTGAACAGGCAGACAGCTCGGGGAGGGGTTGTCCGAGCTTCAGCAAGTACCAATAGACAGAAAACAAGGATACCTCATCAAAATACCGAAGGAAGGTGATCTCAGGAAGTGTTAAAATTATGGAAGCATCAATCTTCTCTCTCATCACTCTCTCTCTCAATACCACGGAAAGTCTTCAACTGAATGTTTTTAAACAGAATGAAGGAGTTCGTAGATCCCCAACTTCGAGATCGACAGGCTGGACTTACAAAATTACGGATCATTGTGAAACAATCAATTGAATAGAACTCAACACTCTACAACAGCTTCATTGACTACGAAAAAAGTACACGACAGCCTGGACAGGACAACATTATGGTGGCTTCTTCGACACTACTGCGTGCATAAGAAGATAGTCAACATCGTACAGAATTCTTAGATGGATTAAATTGCAAAACCGTGTACGAAGGACAAATGACAGAATCGTTCGGGGTGAAGACCAGTGTCAGGTAAGGTTGCTTACTCTCAGGCTTTCTCTTTCTCCCCAGTGATCGACTGAATCATGAAGACGTCAACATTTAAGGGGGAAGCATGGGATGCAGTAAACAACTAGGATGCAGCTGCAGACCCAGACTTCACAGATGGTCTGGCTCCTCTATCGTACATGCCACGAAAAATGCTGGAGAAGACGGTTTGTGTTGCAGTAGCCTCAGCCGCAGCAGCAGCAGCAGGTCTCAACATACGCAAAGGAAATTCAAGATAGTTCGATTCAACCTAACATGAACCAACCAAATCACCCTTAATGCAGATGCTTTGGAGGATATAAAAACTTTACATATATCTGGGCAGCGACATTGGTAAACAAAGTGAAGATGCGGATTGGCAAAGCAAAGGCAGCATTTCAATAACTGAAGAAAATCTGTGACTCCAAACAACTGTCAACCAACATCAAAGTCAGAATTTTCAATACAACTCTGAAGCCATCATTCAGAAGATACAAGTATTCCTTAAAACTTGTGTACGCAAAATACTTCGGATTCGTTGACCAGACACGATCAGTAACAACCTACTGTACTAGAGAACAAACCAGATTCCCAGTGGAGAAGCAAAATCAGGAAGAAGCACTGAAAAAGAGTAGGACACACATTGCGTTAAACACACAACTGCGTCACAAGACAAGCTCTCACTTGGAATCCTCAAGGACAAGGGAAAATGAGGCAGTTCATAAAACACATTATGTCGAGAAATGGAGACAAATGCGAGAGGAATGAACAAACATTGAACAGAACTGAAAAGGGAAGCCCAGGAGAGAATAGGTTGGAGAATATTAGTTCGCGGCCTATGTTCCACTAGTAGTAACAGGCGTAAGTATAGTAAAGTAAAGTAAAGTAAGGTATCTACACAAACTTCATGTAGTGATGAAGATCAAACTGTAGGAAATCATAATGAATGGAAGTATTAAATGCCATCTGATAAAAACTACAAACGTATTATTATGAAACTGTTATGTTCGTCACTTAGTATGCTTGAAGCTATTACGAGTTCACCTTAGTCAATAAACGCGAACGAGACAATTACCAGCATCCAGGTAGGCTACCTTGAATCCCAAACTGCAAAACAGAAGGCTTTGTAAGCGTAGAAAGTATATTCTACAAACACCCAGCAATCACACAATACAATCAAGCATACAACTCTCGTTTATTTATACATCATAGAAACGTCCTTGGGACAGTTACGTAACACACAGCAGCCAATCACAGCCAAGGATTTTCCTGATGGGAAATGAAATCTCAGGGTCAACTGATCAGCCCATGTCGGCAAACGTGAAATCCAAATAATAAGGCATTTATCTATCGAGTTCTGGGGATCTAACATCCCCAACAGAAACCTATTGACTTCAATGTAATATTTCACATATTGAATAAACATCAACTTTTCTTCTTGTCTTATACAGTTCCACTCCCTGAATTACTAACAATTCTTCTATCAGGAAAACCAGATTTGATTTCAAAAAGAATTTTTGCTGAAATTCAACCAGATCGTAATTTAGCACAAGAATTAAGAGTAAGTCAATGTTTTGTTTTTCTTATTTCTAATATTTTGAAAATGGCTATAATGTTTATTATACACATTTGAAATCATCAATTTAATCTACTGTTAGGATAATCATCCAATATCCTAAGAGAATTATTGGTCAAATCCTATTGGGCGATTTCTATTGGTCAAAATTATGGTCGTTTTAACTGTCAATGTCAAATATTTCAATGTTGTCACTTATTGGTCATCCGGACTGTCAATGTCATTTCAAATGTTCATTCTTATTGGTTGTCCTGACTATCAATGTCACTTCAAATGTTACTTCCTATTGGTCGTCTTAACTGTCAATGACACAGAATTCGATGCTGTTTCCTATTCGACCATAATGTATAAATACTGATTATCTGTAACATTTTATGACCACGACCAGGACCAGAGCTCGGATCCCTAGTCCGGGATCCTGTTTCTCTTCTGGATTCGGACCTCGTACTTTCTGAATGCTTGTAGAATACAGGTTTTACTTCATATCATATCTTCTTATTTTTACTCAATATGGGGGTTGGGATAATCGGATTAGTGTAGCATGTCGTGTCACCGGATCCTTGCTCTCGTTTTCCAACTAGGTAAACGCGTAATTGTTCAAGTATATCAAGTGAGGTGTTTACGTAACATCAACGTTAAATCATCATTAGAAATATGGAAGCACTGAAATGTCACTTCATCCGGTTATGGGATTCATCAGCGGCAGCAGTGTACATCCACCACTCTGATTTATATAACTTTAATTGAAAAAAATAAATATCTATGAAGTTTATAGTTCTTAGAAGGTTAAAATTTTCTTTTGGAAAACAGTACTAAGATTATTCATTATGAAAATATTTCAGTTATGTAATGAAAGGCTTTATCGATTATATGACTACAGATTGTATGACTACACATTTGTTTTATCCTACTTTGACATTTCTCACTGATGTATCTCGATAAGCCAACAAATCTTCTTGAGCCTGATGACTAGTGCAATGTTTATTTTTTTCTCTTATTAGACGGATAATGAAAATGTACTAAAATTTTGAACAGAATTTGAAATATGAGTAATATTCACTAGTTCATATAATTGAAGTGTTCTTTTCAGAATGCTCAAGATTTCAACAAAAATTGTATTATTGTTACATGTCAAGGAAAGAAACACGCACACACACACACACTAAACACAGAGTGACATTTTTATTTAGTTCTTACTTACTTACTTACTTACTTACTTACTTACTCAGTTGTCCTGCCTGTGTCCAGTGCGTTTCACTGATACTGAGCACCTTGAGGTTGTATCTTTTCATTTCTGCCGCAACTTGCAATTGTCTCCCAGTCTCCCACAATGTACGAGCGTTCCATATACCTAAAAAAATGGTTGCTCTGGTTGTGAGAAGAGACATCGACCCCATGACTTCCGAGGGAACTCAGCTTTCATCACGCGACGTCATAATCGTTCTTCCAACCCCCAGGGCAGAGTTAAAATATTTTGAATTATTTTTTCTGGTTAGGGTTTTTTTGGCAAGTTAGTTTTTTACACATTTGAATCATCAATCAGAGTTAGACATTAACACCACTTGATGCCGTCCCAGTGGTTCGATGGTAAGGCGTTCGCTTACGACACCGAAGGTCCCGGGTTCGAATCCTGCGGAGTGCAGGAGTCGTGGATGCGCACTGCCACTGATGAGTAGGCCCATTCCAGGACGAAACGGCCATCCAGTGCTTCCAGGTTTCTAATGGTGGTCTAACAATGATTGATTGATGATTTCAAATGTGTTAAAAACACAAACCTCCAAAACTGTGCCCCCAAAAGAGTTAGTTTTTGACGGAATGGGATCGCCAACCCCATGTCCAACCCTCCTCCTTTATCCACCGGGCTTGGGACCGGCAGTAGCCCTAGAAGGTTCTACTGGAGGAGTTTTTATTAAGTTCTACTTTGAGATTTTAACAACATCAAGGATGTACTCATCAAAAACTCTCAACTCATATTGTGCTTTTGTTTTTTATTCTTTATAGACTGTTGTTGAAACAATTTGTCGTTACTTGCCAAAATCACATACATATGGTAATTTAGCTGATTTTATTGGATTACGACCAGGTTATAAATTAGAAGTACAAATATTAAAACATGGTCATACACAAAAAATTTATAAAAATTTACTTATTAAAACATTAACAGATGCATGTAAGTAGTTAGTACTATATATATATATATATATATATATATATATATCGTTTTGACTAGTGAAAACTTGTAGTGAATACTTTCATGTGTACCTCACAGGGATCGTTCCATTTGTCTTTTGACTTTGTCAATCATTCACTCATATTGTAGTGAACGAGAATACAGGTGGGGCAACCGAATTGTATTTAACGATAATTACAGAGTTACTCAGTAAAATTGGAAAACCATATCGTAAATCGTTAATTTACAAAATATCAGTTCATCATCATATCGAACTGGACTGTTCCTGTTGCAAAACATCAATCCATTGTCACTATTCTCATGCGTTTCATACAAATTCCATTGTGTTCTATCTAACTCTTCCTTTCTTGATCTTCTCCCATCTTCTGCTGCCAGACATTAAGTTGACACGTACGTCATATACTACTTGTAAGTAGCTCGCACCACAATATTTGCGTTGCATTTATTCGTGTGTGTGTGTGTGTGTGCACGCCTGTCTGGCTTATTACATGTTTGGCTTATTTTTGTGAGACTATAAATTTTTAGTCATGCTTCGTCCAATGGAGTTGGCTCACTCGTCTCCTGTACTTCAGTTCACTTCGTTTTGCTTTGCTTTGCATGTATGTCTTTCATTATCATGTGTGCAATCAACGATTGTCTGAGATAAACTCATTCAACCGAATCCATATTTGGCTTCTTATGTTAGCGCCGTCGCACAAACAGGGTTCGCTTAAGTATAATATACGAAAACTGATGATGGAGATTTATTTCATAGCATATTTAAATATTCATCAATATTGGGTCGTGGTTCACTAAAGTATATGAGCCCTACATCGAATCGAAAAGCTCAACAAAGTGATAATCCCAATACCGAATCTAACGTAACCAAAAAACTTATTTTAAAAAATTTAAACAATTCACTGAATAAATAGTTTTGTTAAAGTAACGAATTGAAAATATGAAGAAGTTTTTTTTCTTTATTTCTATTGTACACTGTTTGTAAAGTACACCTGAAGTGAAATTGTATTACTTACTTACTTACTTACTTACGCCTGTTACCCCCAATGGAGCATATGCCGCCAACCAGTTTTCTCCAACCAACTCTTTCCTGGGCTTCCCTTACCAGTTCTGTCCAATGTTTATTCATTCCTCTCATATCTTTCTCTATTTATCGGCGTAATGTGTTCTTTGGCCTTCCTCTTTTCCTTTTGTCTTGAGGGTTCCATGTGAGGGCTTGTGTTGTGACGCAGTTGGGTGCTTTTCGCAGTATGTGTCCTATCCACTTCCACCTCTTCTTCCTGATTTCCTCCTCCATTGGAATCTGGTTTGTTCTTTCCCACAGTATGTTGTTGATGATGGTGTCTGGTCAACGAATCCGAAGTATTTTGCGTAGACAACTGTTCATAAACACTTGTATCTTCCGGATGATGGCTTTGGTAGTTCTCCATGTTTCCGCTCCATACAATAGAACTTTCTTGACATTTGTATTGAAAATTCTGATTTTGGTTTTGGTTGAAAGTTGTTTGGAGTTCCAGATATTTTTCAAATGTAGAAATGCAGCCCTTGCAAGTGAAACTGTATAGACGATGGTATTTTCTCATTCATTTTTTCTGTAACGTTAAAAAAAAATTTTTATAATTCTAATAGATGCCATCTTCAATGACATTAAGTTGTATAGTTGAAAATTTTCAAGGAAGCAGATCATATTAGGCCTACTCTCCTAATTGTTTTTTTTCAAGAATCTTGTTTGTATGTGTTGAGGATGTTAGATCCCCAGAACTTACTTGATAAAGCTACTAATTTTAGATTTCATTCATGAGCCGATCAGTTAACCTTGGGATTACATTTCCCACCAGGAAAATCCTTGACTGGGATTGGTTGCTGTGATATTTTAGTGTGCTATTTTTGTGATTCTCTTAAATGAGAGGTAGAAAATATTCAGTTCAATTTTAATTGTTGTCTAAAAGTCCATTTAATGTTGATATGAAAAAGGAAAATGTCTTTTTTGATAGGGATGTTAGATCCCCAGAACTCGCTTGATAAATATCTTGATTTTGGATTTATTTCATGGACCAATCATTTGACCTTGAGATCACATTTCCCACCAGTTGAATCCTTGTCTGTGATTGGTTACTGTGTCATTTTAGTGTGTGCTATTTTCGTGACTCTCCCAATGACGTCTCTATGGGGTATAAATAAACGCAATTTGTGTGCTTGATTGCATTGTGTGCTTTCTGGACGTTTGTAGAATTCAGTTTCTACACTATATGAAGATTTCTTGCTGATTCAGTTTGGTCAAGGGATCACAGTAGCCGCCTACCTGGACGCTGGTTCATTGTTTTGTTTTTGTTATTCGACTAAGGTGAACTCGTAATAGTTTAAAGCATACCCAGAAACGAGCGTAACATTTTTTCAATCTCAGCTGTTTATCAAGTGTCAGTCAGTCAGTCAATTACAACGTAGAACTTTGTACGTACGCACGTAAATCAGTTCAAGTTGCCATACCACATTAGCACAGAGATGCAATTTTTAATTCAAAACCTAGCAGTAATCTGAAAGAATAGGATTCGAAGATATTATTTAACAAGTAGAATCTATTGAAATAAACTTAATAAGAAAAAGATAAAGGTAATGAAGAATTCCAGAAGGTTACGATTTGAGAGAACATAAAGAATGAATTCACTTGCACCATTGCAAACGTTTTTGAGACATGTCGTTCAAGGTCTCTAAACATCGATTACTATCACCTCGCAGACCCCAAACATGTAGTCTGGATCTACCGACATGACTTCAAGTATTCCTGCCATGTTTTGGTCTGACCGCCCGTGTCCAACCTATTCCCACACTACAAAACATAGCTCGTCGAGGCAGTCGGTGGTTGCACATACGTACTATCAAGTGTAGTTTTATATACCTATCATACTGGTGTTGTATCGTTTGTAAAAATGTTATTGACACAGTCTAAATGTTCAAACTGAAGCTACTATAGTCGAATTTCAAAACTTCCGAAGTTGAATGTCTTCTTTTATATTCATCATAAGCTATTAAAACATTTTTTCATCAATCTATCAGTTTTATCATTGATATTTTTTCTATTTACTAGTTAAACATAGTACAATACAACAACAACAAATTACATTAAATCAACTAAATTCTGATTTGGAAAAATTAATTTCACAAATTTCGGAAGTATGTAGTATCATTGCAACAGAATTAATTGGAGTTGATACTATAAAACCTAGTAGAAATTTTATTGGTAAGTTTTACAAACAACCATTCAAATTACTAATCTGTTAATTCAGTAGTATAATCGCTTGTCAGCAAAAAATATATATATGTATATTTAAATATATTTATATATATATAAAATTCTTGAGTTAATGAATTTCTATTTTCTAACAAGTAATTTTAGGGATACTGCCCCTAACACAAGTCTCATGTAGTGCCTCCACATATATTCCAGTTCGCTTACATTTAACTTGGTTAAGCCTTTTCGACTAATTTATTTAACCAAGCCACTTGTGTATTGCAAGAATTTATATGTACCATTCGTTCTTATTATTATTGTCTGGTTTGTATGATGAGCTCACATGACGTGTCATTTTACTTTGTCAATCATTCGTCGCTTTTATTCATGTGTGCCTATTTCGCAACAGAGTTCTGAAAACTTCACAATTCTCTTTTATTTTCAATTAGAGTTATGGAGATTAGTGTTTTTACACATTCGAAATCATCAACCAATCATTGTTAGACTACCGTTAGAAACCTGGAAGCACTGGACGGCCGTTTCGTCCTGGTATGGAACTCATCAGCAGTGCGCATCCACTACTCCTGCACCTCGCAAGATCCGAACGCGGGACTTTCGGTATTGTGCACGAACGCCTAACCATTGGACCACTGGGCCGGTATCCAACGGTGCTAATGTGTAACTCTGATTGATCTAGGGATTTCGCGCCACCTCACCCACTTGTACTAGGTAGTTACTGCCTACACCCGAACAGGTTGAACTTCACTGGTCACGTCTTCTCACTAGAACTCCGAGAATTTCCACACGAAGCTAGTCACTAATGAGCACATTTACGATATTTTCAATTAGAATTATGGAGATTAGTGTTTTTACACATTGTTAGGTAGGTCCCAGGTCTAAATCCTGCGAGGTGCAAGAGTCGTGGATTCTCATTGCTACTGATGAGTAGTTCCATACCAGGACGAAATGGCCATCTCTCAGTGCTTCCAGGTTTCTAATGGTATGGTCTAACAATGATTGATTGATGATTTCAAATTCTCTTTTAAAATTGTTTTTAAAATTGTTAGCCATACTAACCATACTGATTGTAATCAAGTTCGTAATTTTGTTTACTTTTCTTAAGTAGCTTCAAATTGTTGAGATTCGCATCAATCAAAATGAAACTATAATGAAATTATTCACACAACCAAACATAACTACTAAATACATAATGAGTAGTTTATCGACATACTACAAGTTTTAATCATCAACTTTACATACTTGTTTTTGTGTTTTTCAGGTTTAAACATAGATACACTGATTATGAATTTAATTAAAGGAGCTATTTATGACACTGCATTAGCTAATCGTGGTATTCTCAGTCGATTATTAGCTTCAGCTGGGGGTGGAGTTGAAGCACTCATCCAATTACTTACATCCAAAGGGGGTGGTGTTGAAGGATTGATGAAATTATTAGCTACAGGTGTTAATCTATCAGATGCTTTAGGTGAATTATTAAATAGTCTTGATGATAATAATCCATTGAATGCTTTAAAACAACTTGCTAATGCTTTAGGTGGTGGTGCAAGTGGTGTTGATGTTATTAACACTTTATTGAGTGCATTAGGTGGTGGTAGTGGTAGTGATGAGGATAAACGTAAAGCTTTTAAAGAATTAATCAAACAAGTAGGTGGTGGAGTTGAAGGACTTAAAAATCTATTTGAATTTACTGGTGATATGAAACAATTAATAGAAAGTGTATTTGGTGAAGGTGCTGAAGGATTAGCTGCTCTGATAGCAACAGTTGGTGGTGAATTTGAAGGTTTACAAAATTTAATACAAGCTGCTGGTGGTGGAGTTGATGGGATTAAAAATTTAATTGGATTAGCTGGTGATCAAGTGACTGGATTGAAAAATCTTCTAACTGCTATTGGTGGAGATAATGTTGGTAAGTTTGTGTATAGATTTTTGATATTAATGAGTATTTATTTATTAAAACAATCAACTATCTGGTTGTGGTGATCCACGAGATGATAATAATTGGGGGGTTTGAGACCCTTGAATGATATGGCTCAAAACTGTTTGCAATAGTGCAGGTGCATTTGTGTTCTTTGTGTTCTCTTAAATTCTTATCTTCTGGATTCTTCAACATCTCCAGTTTTGTCTTTCTAAACTTATTTCATTGAATCATACTTGTTGAATAATATCTTCTAATCTTAACCTCTCCGATTACTTCTAATAACTTTACTATTACTGTGGTGCGCGCTACTTATAAGTAGTATATGACGTGAGTGTCAAAGTAATGTCTGACAGCAGAAGATGGGGGAAGATCAAGAAAGGAAGAGTTAGATAGAACACAATCGAATTTTTAATGAAACGCATGAATAGTGACAATGGATTGATGTTTTGGAACAAGAACAGTCCAGTTCGATATGATGAACTGATATTTTGCAAATTAACGATTTACCATATGGTTTCCGATTTTGCTGAGTAACTCTGTAATTTTCGTTAAATCAATCCGGTTGCTCCACCTGTGTTCTCGTTCACTACACTACTACTACCACTATTTGGATTTGAATTGACAATTACATTTCTGTGTTCTAGTATGTGGTATGGCAACATGAACTGATGTACGTAACGTACGTACGAAGTTCAAAGTTGCATCTAACTGACTGACAAACATTTAACAACTGATCTATGCACAAACAAACATCATTTTGATGAAATCATCAAAAGCAACACTGTTTAGATTACAAATTCTTCAATGTTGCTTAAATTAACTAACCTTTTCTGTATTTAACTTATGCTGCATTCTCAGTGTAGATCGTATAGAGTGGATCATTTCAAAAAACCACTAGATTCTTCATATGTTGTAATTTTGATCTGATCAAATCCTTTTAGGCCAATAAATAATCTGACATTCGTAATATGTTTTCATCTTATCAAGAGATATGGTTTATCTCAAACTTTGTACAAATCAACTAATCCATTCTTTTCGAGTCATCATTCAGATATCTTTCAATCTTATCAATTACTCGCTTATTATGATCTTGGTTTCTTTCAACTGAACGCATGTGTGCATAGTTGTTAACTTCGCTTGTCATATGTCTCGGCTATTTTTATCATGGCTTATCGATTGAGCTGGCCTACTCGCTTTCTCCGCTACACTTTAATTCGCCTAACAGTTACGCTTTACATTCTATTATCTGTCTGCTTAAGTGATACAGATTTCACCTAAATTGAGGTCAGCAGAACCAGAGCATTTTGTTGACAGTATTTAATCGAATAATTATGACTTTCAGAAAATTCTAGAACTTTATTATTACTTTGCAGTGCGCCGATTTATTGCGTGTTCGTAAGCTCGGTTTATAAATCAAAAAATGAACTCGTATTGATGAATACGTTTATTCGAGGCACACCACAAAGCGAAGCGGAGAAGCGAATTGGAGAAGAGATAGAACATGACTAAGAATATATAGTCAGATAAAAATAAGACAGACATGACAAGCGAAATAGGCATGCACAGACATGAATGATTGACAAGGTCAAAAGCAAGCGATACAAATCATGTGAGTTCATAGGGATATTAAGAGATTAACATTAGAGCGAAAAGGATGAGTAAGCGCGTAGGCGTAAGCAATGCTCAGTCGTACAAGCTCATACAAAGCAGATAATAAAAAATACCAATGGTAAATATGAGTTGTTGCTATACAAATGGCTTGGTTAAATAAATTAATCGAAAGGGCTTAACCAAGTTAGATGTAAGAGGACTGGAATATATGTGGAGGCACTACAACCTTATCAGAATTAACTCAGTGATATTCAACCATGAATGCAAGATATCACTTAGATTTCACTCAAAGCTAAGTTTTAGCATCAATTATCTTTGTATATCATTTGAATTCATTAATCGATCATTGGTAAACTACCAATAGAAACACAGAGACAATGAACGGCCATTTTTTCCTACTACGGGACACATAAGTAGTGTACATCAACGACCTCAGCTCGCAGGAATCGGACCTGTGACCTTTAGTCTCAAGCGCGAACGCTTACCCTCTAAAGTACTACACTGGCATCCGATAGTGGTAAAGAATATTTGTGTTGCGAGTGTACGTCAACACATCATTTGATACGCTTGAACTATTACGAGTTCACCGCAGTCGGTGAACGAGAGCAAGGATCGAGGATCCGGCGACACAACAGGCTACTACTCTAATCCGGGTGTCCAAAAACCCCATTGAATAAAAGAAGAAGACTTGATATGAAGTAGAACATGTGTTCTACAAGGATCCAGAAAGTAAGCTGTCCGATTCCAGAAGAGCATAAGGATCCCGGACTAAGGATTCGGATTATAAAACGTTACAGATAATGCATATTTATACAGTGAGGTCGAATAGGAAACAACATTTGAAGTATGTGACATTGATAGTTAGGACGACCAATAGAAATCAACTAATACGCATCGATCAGTCGAATTAGCATTACAAATAATTCTCTTAGGATATTAGATAAATATCCGAACACTATGTATACATAAGTTTTCTGTTATTTAAACTTGGCATTCTTTGTTATTATTCATTTATTCATTCTAAGTGCTATCGACTTGATTGTTCGTCTAATTCAGACAGTTATAGCGACGAATAATGAATTATCAATCAAAATGAAAGAATGAAGAATTTTTATTGTGAGACAAATACTTCAAGGTCTCTAACCATCGGTGACTTACATCTCGCGGACCCCAACCAGGTAGCCTACATCTACCAACATGACTCAGTTCACTTGTTAGTGAATTCATGGATTTGTGCCATGTTTTGGTCTGGCCGCCACTAACTTTCTTTCAGCCTACTCCTACACCAAAAAACATAGCTTGACGAGGCATTCGGTGGTTAGGCATACGTAACACTTGTCCCAACCATCTCAACTGATGAAGTTTCACTGCTTCATCAACTGATCTGCCATCCCTACCTAGAACTCGTTTCCTAATGACAGCATTGCTTATACGGTTGTCCTAGGATACACGAGCAATGCTTCTAAGACATCTATGATTGGAAACAGGTAACATACGAATATCTTCTACTCTGATTGGCTATGTTTCGTATCTATATAGTAGAACGGAGTGAACTATTGCGCAGTAGACTCGACCTTTTTGAATACCTAGCATTTGAATTGGCTGATTTTTTTCTATGTATCCAAAGTCAACACTCACCTTAACGCACAATGTTTACTCATATAGCAGATATATATAATGGAAGAGAATGTTTTTTTTTAACAAAAAGTACTAAATCATGACATCAATCTAGGCAATTTGATTTAAACTATTTGATTGCAGTTCAAGCTATAATCTGAAATATTAGTTAGAGACGTTGGATGAAATAGTTTAGAATCATATGTAATCATATATATAATCATCACACTAAATCTTGATTAATTGACTAGCCCGCTGCACATACACATGGCTTCTTTTTAGGCAACACAAGGATTTTCACTTTAGCCGTTTAGTGATCACCCTTGCCCCAATCGGGAACATACATGTTGTCCAGGTTCGCCCGCAAGCAGGTCGGACGACCAAAAAGCACGCGCACGAACAGTGGCCCCCGTTCAGGCACTTATGAATCAACAAGATCCATCCACCAATCCACCACCCGAAATCCTTAATCGGCATGGGAGGCAAGGCGGACTTAGGCAGCCAGACCTGGCATACTGAACGGATTACCGAGCCACCCAGCTGTGCACTACCCAGCAGCCGTTCCAACCGTCCGGCCTCCAACTTCCTTGTGCTGATACAATCGACCGGAGCCCTCAGACCCCACATGAAGCTAAAGATCGAGTTTGTCCCACAAGGTCAGCCGGAACGTTCACCCTCCTCCAATGGGGAAGATGTCATGGACTTAACCAAGTGCAAGCACCCGGCCAAGCTGGGTTAATCCCACAGAAGTGGGCAGACATCATTGGCGTCCAGTACTCTTTAGCACCGGATCAAATAACCCAACTCGAGACCCTTGTTTAAGGAGCCTCGACGTCAGTTGACGCAATACACCGAGATGCGGAGTGTTCGGGACAACCACATAGGGTCGGCGTCAATAGTCCAGCATCTCTACAGCTGCTTCCACAAACAGAACGTCTAGGGCCGCCTTCAACCATCCTGAAAAGCTGCATCCCTTTCGATGTATTTGCTACAAGCAGGATGATAGAGGACAATTCCTCAAAACATTATCGGAATTTACCTACGCTCAGAGGATGGGATTCAGACTTAAAGGCGTTCAGCCCTAATCGCCCAGAGTGACAAATCCGCATCCACAGCCTTGCAACCATGAACGCGTACCATTATTCTGGACCATGCTAGGCACGGTATCCTAAGCGTTTGGAACGGCTTTTAGTCGCAGCGCTGTAAACGACACGTTGCCTGGCAGGATCACAAAGAGGTAGTCGCCACCACAACCCCCAGAAGGCTCCATTTATGCGCGTCACTTTTCTTTTCTTAAATCATCACACTATATGTTGGTGATAGGCGGGAGCTTACGATCAACTGACTAACTGACTGACTGGTTGATTATTAACAGTGATGTGTGTAACCTTGGAGATCATTGAGCTGTAGTTTGTTTCATTGTGAATGTAATTAATTTTGATAATTATTGAATAGATTTCTCTCTTATTGTACTTTTTTTTCCTCTTTCTTTCTTTCTTAGCTGATGCATTATCTACACTATTAAAGGCTACCGGTAATATAAAAGATGGTCTCTCCGCATTACTAGGCGAATCTAGTGATTTAGGATTAGCCAATTTAATTGAAGCTATTGGTGGTGGTGTAGAAGGATTGAAAAATTTATTAAAAGCAACAGGTGATAATCCAACTGAAGCATTAGCCAATATATTAACAGCTATCGGAGGTGGTGTAGATGGTTTAAAAAATCTACTCGAAGTTGTAGGTGGTGGTGGTGGTGTTGAAGGATTGAAAAATTTATTCAATCTAATGGGTAATAATCCTAGTGAAGCGTTAATGAACATTTTAAAAGCTACAGCTGCAGCTGATGGTACTGGTGGTGGTAATACTGTTGATGCGTTAAAATGTTTACTTGAATCACTTGGTGGTGGAGGTCAAGAAGGTTTACAAATTCTATTGCAATCATTAGGTGATAATCCTGTCGAAGCTTTAGCTAACTTAATCGCTTCTATTGGTGGTGTTGGTGAAGGGGGAGGCGGAGGAGTGGAAGAAGGTTTGAAAAATTTAATTGAAGCAGTTGGTGGTGGTGCAACTGGATTAATGAATCTTTTAAATTCTTTAGGTGGTTCTTCTAAAGAAGCTTTAGAAGCATTGTTCACTGTTGCAGGTGGAGGAATAGAAGGTTTGAATCATTTAATTGCTGCAGCTGGTGGAGGTGTGGAAGGTTTGAAAAATATTTTAGAAGCTGTTGGTGGTGGTTTAGAAGGATTGAAAACTATACTCTCATCACTTGGTGATGAACCTGTAGAAGCGTTGAGAACATTGCTAACAAATATGACCGGTGGTAAGTGTTAACAAAACTATGTCATTGAAAAACATTTTTTAAATTGAATCAAATATACATTATTTTCTATTTGTAACCGTGAATCGATCAATGTTAGACCACCATCAAAAACCTGGAAGCACTGGACGGCCGTTTCGTTCTGGTATGGGACTCATAAGCAGTGCGCATCCACGACTCCTGCACCCCACAGGATTCGACTCCAGGACCTTCGGTATTGTGCGCGAACGCCCTAACCGTTTTCTCTTAAAAACACTCCTCAACCATGTTTTTTTGCTTCCAATATTCTTAAACAGATGACTTTCACAATGCAGTTAAAAATACAAGTTAGAATTTGATGTAGCTCTTAAATTAATGTATACTGCTATCTTTGTAGGATTTATTTGTTGTCCTACAGATGTACTTCTAAACTTGTAAACGCAATATTGGCGAGCAAAGAGTCTGTGGGAAAGCTATATATAGTCAAACACAAGATCAATTTGGGGTCTTAAACTTTATCTGTCTCTAAACAGAAAAAACAATTAGATTAGTACAATAAATAAGGAAATTACAATTATCAAGTAAAACGAGTTAACTTACCGACCAATATTGCGTGTCTTATGGAAATGAGTACAGTTATGAGTCACATCAATAATAATAACATAATAATGTCATTCAATTAGTAGTAGGTCATTTACAACAAAGAGGATTTACAGACACATCAGGTCAGATCACGTGATGGGCGCTTAAACCACAATTTGATTGGTTAGTTATGACAACTACAATTAGTTATGAAAATAACTAACATCTTATTGAGCTTACAGTAACAATACAATTGGTGATTTTTCATAAGAACACTCGTTATCGGTCTGGATAAATGAACAGTTTAACAAGTAATTAAATCTAACATTATTGCTAGATATTTTGTTCTACTGTTCAATTGGGCAAATATCACGTGACGAACCTTGATCCACCTAATCACAAAAAAATACAAAGATGACTAACACGTGATGAGTAACTTCATTGCCAAGACTTGAACAACAACGCTCACAGCTTATGAGTACATTCAGATACTTGAGCTGATTCAAACAGATAAATGTTTAGGAGTGACCTCGATCAGTTAAGTAGTTTACTCTGGTTAAAATGCATCACCTCTCCTTCACTACTTAACCATTAGACAATTATTTTTATCTGTCATCATTTCTCAATAGATCATTTTATTAGGTAGGATGCGTATATCGACAACTGTTGGGGATGTTACATTCCCAGAACTCGCTTGATATAAATATCTTTATTTTGGATTTTATTCATGGGCCGATCAGCTGACCTTGAGATCACATTTCCCAACAGGAAAACCCTTGGCTGTGATTGGTTACTGTGTCATTTTAGTGTGTGCTATTTTGTTACTCTCCCAAGGACGTCTCTACAGAGTATAAATAAACGCGATTTGAGTGCTTGGATTGAATATGTGCTTGCTTGTTTCTACGCTATATCAAGACTTCTTGCTGGTACATTTGGGTCAAGGGATCACAGTAGCTAACCTGGACTCTGGTTCCTTGTTTTGTTCTCGTTATTCAACTAAGGTGAACCCGTAATTGTTTAAAGCGTAACTGGAGACGAGCATAACAACAAATCTGCCTGAAGCCCATCTGTGCCTTCTGTCCATCTAAAGTCCGGATAAAGGAGGAGGGTAGGGCTTAGGGTTGGCGACTACATCCGGAGAAATAGAGAAAAATATAAGAAGAATAGACAAAAAATTGAATAGAACTGGTAAAGGAAGCTCAGAGATAGAATAGTAGGTTGGAGAATACTTGTCGGAGGAGGCCTATGCTCCATTAGGGTGTGGGGGTAACAGGCCAAAGTAAGTAAGTAAGTGTACATGCATATTCCTCTATTTATAAACTAAACCCTTGGTTTCACACCTGTTTTATTTTTTATTCTTACAAACAAATAAACAGGTATTGCAAATCTAATAGCAGCTGCTGGTGATGGTGTATCAGGTTTGACAAATTTATTCAATGCAATCGGTGGTGGTGATATTGTAGAAGGATTCGCCAACTTGTTAAATGCATTAAGCAATAATGGTGATATGAATGAAGCACTCATGAATCTATTGAGCATGAACGATAATCAAGGCGAAAATTTAAAGAATTTAATTCAAGCATTAGGTGGTGGAGTAGATGGCTTGGAAAATTTACTCAAAGTAATCAATAATAATCAAATTGGTCTAGAAGGTTTATTAAATGCATTAGGTGGTGGAGTGAAAGGTTTAACCACCCTGTTGAATTCATTTGATCAGACTGGTAATAAAGAAGAAATCATTCGAAAATTAATTGAATTATCTGGTGGAGGTGTTGAAGGATTGGCTGCTTTATTAAAATCTACAGGTGGTAGTATTGAATCGATTAAAGAAATTTTAAATGCATTTGGTGGTGGACCTGAAGCATTAGCTAAATTATTAATGTCATGTGGTGATAATCCTGAGGAAGCATTAAAAGTTTTATTAACTATGTTAGGTGGTGATGAGAATGCTTTGAGAAATTTACTTCTGGCTAGTGGAATTGATCCAAATGATCCAGATTCATTGAAATTATTTTTTGAATCATTAGGTGGTGCTGATGTTGGGTTAAACATTCTATTTAATGCTTTAGGTGGTGGTGATAATGAAGAAGGTATGAAGAGATTATTGAAAACATTTGGTGATAATGGTTTAGTTAATTTAATTAAAGCAGCTGGTGGTGAACAGAATGGTGGTTTAGAAGCATTAATTAAAGCAATAAGCGGGGGTAAATCATCTGCAGAAGGTTTATCCATGTTAATTAATTTGCTGGGTGGAAAAGAAAATGGTCTTGCCACGTTGATTGCAGCTGTAGGTGGTGGACAAATTGGTTTAGCGGCATTACTTAAAGTAGCAAAAAATCTATCTGAAGATGGTGATGGTTTAGCCGCATTGATTACTGCTGTAGGTGGTGGTGTTGAAGGTTTAGAAGTGTTAATTAATGCAATTGGTGGAGGTGAAGAAGGATTGAATAATTTATTAGAAGCAGCTGGTGCAACTGATGCCAGTGCAAAAGCTAACATTTTAAAAACTTTAATTAATGCTGGTGGTGGAGGTCAAGAAGGTTTTAATAATATTTTAAAAATTCTTAGTCGACGTAAAAATGAACGACCAATAGATGGATTAGCAAATTTACTCAAGGTACTTGGAAATAATTCAGATTCATTAGGGATTCTATTCGAAGCAATTGGTAATTCTACAACAGATGGATTAGCTGATATATTAGCAGCAGCTGGTGGAGGTGCTGAAGCTTTACAACTTTTATTGAATACAGTAGGTGGTGGAGCTGAAGGTTTAATGAATCTGCTGGCTGCAGCTAAACTTGACAATTTACAACAATTAGCTGATGTCTTGGCTGTTGCTGGTCTTAGTGATGATATTGTCACAGCTGCTAGATTGGGTAATTTATCAGAACTTTCAGGTATGTTAATTTACAATTAACTATATATATATTGTGTGATTAGTGAAATGAAAATTTTTTCTACTCTTGTTGAATTACGAATTTCTTAAAGAAATAAAAAATAAAATAACATGCTAATTGTAACTAAGCTGAACGAAGTGTAGTGAAGGAGAACACAGGTGAGGGCAACCGAATTGTATTATCTCAAATTATAGAGTTACTCAGTAAAATTCGGAAAACCATATCGTAAATTGTTAATTTGTAAAATATCAGTTCATCATCATATCGAACTGGACTGTTCCTGTTGTAAAACATCAATCCATTGTCACTACTATTCATGCGTTTCATACAAATTCCATTGTGTTCTTCTAACTCTTCCTTTCTTGATCTTCCCCTATCTTCTGCTGCCAGACATTACGTTATTACTCGCGTCATATACTACTAATAAGTAGCGCGCACCACACAAGCAGCCCCGAGTTTTTCATGAAAAGCATTTTATGCATTGAAAACAAATTGAAACATAGTTTTTATCATGAGAATGAAAGTCACTTGGAGAATCATTTTTTTTTGTAATTCTAATTGGGACTCTTTTTAAAATTCGTACTCATTAATCCACATTGGATTGGATTGAAAGCTTTGATTTTTTGTAGTAGGCATGATTCAATCAAACTGTTGAGTCATCCGTATCAGTGAGTCTATGTTGATAGTTTTACATTAATCTCATAATACTGTAGTGTGTCGATTTACTGCGTGTTCTTAAGCTCGGTAATTAACTCGTTCAGACAATCGTTACATAGTAGTGTCTGACAGTTTATAAATCAAAAGGTGAACTCGCAGTGATGAATACGTTTATTTTTGGACACACCACAAAGCGGAGCGGAGAAGCAATGTGAATAAAACGAATGAAGCTACGTGAATCGGAGAAGGCTGTTGAGCCAACTCTTAGGGATAGAGCATGACTAAGAATATTTAGTCAGACAAAAATAAGACAGACATGTGATCAACGAGATAGGCATGCACACACATGAATAAAAGTGACGAATGGCTCATGAGGTCAAATGACAAGTGAGACACGTCATGTGAGCTCATACAAACCAAACAATAATAAGAACGAATGGTACATATAAGTTGTTGCTGCGCAAATGGCTTGGTTAAATAAGTGATCAATCAAAAGGGCTGAACCAAGTTAGATGTAAGCGAACTGGAATATATGTGGAGGCACTACAATACTATAGCTACTATCCTAAAGTGATGATCATCTCATGTTCCATTAAAAGACAATTTATTGAAACTACATTGGTTGAAGCAAGGGTTCCCTCAAAGTTCTGGAATGACATGATCTTGGCATGCAACACGTTTATTATTAACAGATATTCAATATCAATCAATCAACAGCAACGTAGAACTTCATATGTACGGACATCAGCTCAAGTTGCTATACCACATTAGCACAGAGAGATGCAATTGCCAATTCAAATCCCATAGTAGTAGAGGTAGTAAAAGTATTAGCAGGAGTCGGAGAGTTTAAGGTTCGACGATATTATTCAAGAAGTATAATGTGGTGAAATAAACTTAAAAAGAGAAAGGTGATGAAAAATTTGGAAGGTTGGGACTTGACAGAACACAAAGAATGAATGTACCTGCGCCAATCCAAACGGTTTTGAGACATGTCGTTCAAGGTCTCTAACCATCGGTGACTTACGTCTCGCGGTCCCAACCAGGTAGCTTACATCTACCAATATGACTCAGTCCACTTGTTAGTGACTTCATGGATTACTGCCACGTTTTTGATTTGGCCAGCCATAACTTCCTTCCAACCAACTCCTACACCACAAAACATCGCTCGTCGAGGTCTTCGGTGGTTGTGCATACGTAACACATGTTCCAACCATCTCAACTGATGAAGTTTCAATGCTTCATCAACTGTTCTGCCATCCTTATCTAGTACGCGTTTCCTAACAACAGCATTGCTCACTTGGTTATCCTAGGATATACCAACAGGTCACCGGCAATCGAACACTAATAACCTACAAATGTCCTCTACTCTTACTGTCTATGTTTCACATACATATAATTGTACAGAGCAAACTGCTGCGCAGTAGACTCATCCTTTGGTTAGCAAGCGGATATCTTGCCTACGCCGCAGTTGATGCAAGTTCGCAAAAGTCAATCAAGATTTTTGCACTATCAGCTGTGGAGTTTAGAATTTTCAAAGCTAGTATATTGCAAACTACTCATAAAAATACATTAGGCAACTAGCCTTAGGTCTGTACAAACGCACTCTCAAGTAGTTAAGACCAATAATACTAACTCAGTTTTCTCTCTTGGATCCCTCAACTTGAAATATATTTCCAAAGTGTGAATAACTGGTATATTTGTAAAACTACTCATATATTTAATTTATTCATGATTAATTATATCTCATCAATTCGTCATGCAGCTTATAGTGTTACTAATTTACTTTTCTATCTCGATAAATTAAAAAAAGCCTTGAAAATTATTGAGAGCTCACTTAAAACTTGGAAGTGATCTACATAGTTGAATACTTACTACATAGACGGGATGTGGTGCGCGCTACTTATAAGTAGTATATGACGTGGGTGAAAACCTGATGTCTGGCAGCAGAAGATGGAGGAAGATCAAGAGAAAGGAAGAGTGGGAACACAATGGAATTTGTATGAAACGCATGAATAGTGACAATGGATTGATGTTTTGCAACAGGAGCAGTCCAGTTCGATAGGATGAACTGATATTTTGCAAATGAACGATTTACGATATGGTTTTCCTATTTTACTGAGTAACTCTGTAATTTTCGTTAAATACAATTCGGTTGCCCTCACCTGTGTTCTCCTTCACTACAATAATAAAACATATTAGGTTTCTCTATTTGAATTTAATTTCCAAATCAAGTCAATTTAATTTGTAATTAAATTTTCAACTGTACTATATTTTTATTTTTTCGTATTTTTTGAAGATTCTAAATTACACTAACAGTAATAATTTCATATAATTACGGGGTTGTGAAGATTGTTAAGTTACACATTTTTGAAACCACGAATCGACCAATGTTAGACCACCATTAGAAACCTGGAAGCACTGGACTGCCGTTTCGTCCTGGTATGGGACTCCTCAGAAGTGCGCATCCACGACTCCTGCACCCCGCAGCATTCGAACCCAGGACCTTCGGTATTGTGCGCGAACACCCTAACCGTGGATGCGCACTGCTGAAGAGTCCCATACCAGGATGAAACGGCCGTCCAGTGCTTCCAGGTTTCTATTAGTGGTCTAATAATGATCGATTCATGGTTTGAAAAATTTCATACAAGTCAGTCAGTCAAGTGAATCTCATAAGACACAGTATTCACTACAAGTCTCTGTTTGCTTCATAGTCTGTTAAAAATATGTATGCTAAAGTTGTTCCTGAATATTCATATAACTTTGTACATACATATATATATACATATACATATATTCCGAATTATTTTGATATTTCCTTTTGAACTACAGTTTCAATATTATGATTAGTCATTACTGTAATGTTTATTAGTATTATTCAATCAGTCAATTAATAACAACATAGAACTTCGTACGTACGTACATCAGTTCACGTTGCCATACCACCACATTAGCACAAAGATGTAATTGTCACTTCAAATCTCATAGTAGTAGAAGTAGTAGAAGTATTAGAAGTAATCGGAGAGAGATTAGAGTTCGACAATATTATTCAAGAAATAGAATCTACTGAAATAAACTTAAAAACAAAAAGATAAACCTGATGAAGAAATCAGAAGTTTAAGAGAAGTTTGAGAGAACACATGAAGAATGAATGAATGACTGCACCTTCATACTATTCATTCTTTGTATTCTCTCTTAAAATTTCATAATAAACTGAAATTATCCTTGTTTCATCATGAAACATATATATTGTATAACGTATAATACTAATACTTTTACTAACTCTAATACTATTGGATTTGAATTGACCATTGCATCTCACTTTGTGCTCATGTGGTATAACAACTTGAACTGATCTATGTGTAGGATTCATCTTTTGTCCTACAGATGTAATTCTAGAACGATAAACGCAATATTGGCGAGCACAGAATCTATGGGGAAGCTAAAGTCAGAACAAGATCAACTTTTTGCTTTAAACTTTATCTATTTGCAAACATAAAAACATTTAAATTAGTACAATAATTGAGGAAATTACAGTAGTTATCAAGTGAAACGAGCAAACGTACCGACCAATATTGCGTGTCTTATGGAAATGAGTTGAGTCATGAGTCACATCAATAATAATAAGATAATAATGTCCTTCAATTTGTAGGTTATTGACACAAAAGAAAGTTTACAGACACGTCACGTCAGATCATAATTTGATTGGTTAGTTATGACATAACTACAATCAATTGTAGAAATAACTCACAGTATGTACATACGTACGTACAAAGTTCTACGTTGCAACTGATTGGTTGATTGAGTGACTCATTGGTTGGTTGACTGACTCATTATCGATTGATTGACTGACTGACTGTCTGGCTGTCTAATGTATAAAATATTCTATATATTAATTTAACTATTATGTTAGTCGACTATCTATTAACTAATGTACGTTTTTTCTTTTTCTTACATAATTTTTATTATTTTTTATTATCATTTTTTAGAATTAGTAGCTCGTAAAGCAGCAACAGAGAATTATTTAAGAACAGGAGGTAAATTGAAATTATATTGTCATTTTTGATTTTGATTTATTCAAAATATTAATGATAAAATCTTATTTTCTTACGAAATTAACAAAATAGAATATTTTTCCTCAGTAAATTACTATTCATTTCTCAATTGATATTTTCATTAAAAAAAACTTAACAGAAATTGTCAACAGGAGCGAAATCAAGTACATGGATCAATAATAAACGGATCATTCTACCATATATAAAAAGATATATCGGAGCATACAGCATGAGTACTCAAAACCATTTTGGAATAGGTATGGTATACAAACCAACAGAATTACTTCACTCAATCATCCTGTATGTAGACCAAAAGACAAAATGATAAAGGAAGAGAACCAAATATCATTTACAAAATAAATTGCTCAGATAGAAGTGAAGCATTCGAATTTCTCCACGTTTGACCTGTAGCTTGTTCTGCTAACCTCGGTCTTGATTGGTTGTTGTTGACCTTAAACCTGTCGTTGTTTGCACCTTTGTTTTGATTGTATCCCCTTTTTAATCTGCTTCTTGATCCTATTTCACCTATGATTTTTCTGATTGATTGATAAATTGAGTCAATGTCGATGTGTTTATTGATTGTTGACTGACCTGAGTGCTAAGCTTCTACAGATTCCTTAGTGTTCTTTGTCCTCCCCCTATCCAGCATTTCCACATTGTCCCAATCGAATGTATGTCCATAATTGTCGGTATGTATTGATATAAGCGAAGCGTTGTCTTGGTGTTTGACTGCTAATTGGTGTTCACGTAAACGAAGTTGAAGAGGCCGTCCACTTTGTTCTATGTAGCGTTTTTCACGACACATTTGTCATTATCAAAAAGAACGAGCTGGAGAACATCTACAATCAGATCAACAACGTCTTAGATGACATCAAATTCGTGATGAAAAAGGATTCAAACAATGGTCTATTATTCCTGGATGTACTCATCACCAGAACTAACACAGGAAAACTGGAAACTTAAGTATTTCGGAAGCCAACCCACACAGACGTAATTCTCAACTACGATAGCAACAACCCAAGAACCCACAAAATCAACTGCATACAAACTTTGTTGAAGAGAGCGAAAACATTCTGTAACACATATGAAGCACTAACGAAATGAGGAAAAACATCTTTTGGCTATCTTCCAAAAGAACGGTTATCCACGCAACTTCATCAAAAAACATCAACCGAAATCGTCAACAGAAGCGAAATTAGGTTCAGGAACCGATAAACGAATCATCTTACCATACATAAAAGACATATCGGAGCATACAGCATGACTACTCAAAATAATTTTGGAATAGATGTGGCACATAATAAACCAACAGAATAACTTCAATCAATCCTGTATGCAGACCAAATGAAAAAATGACAAAGGAAGAAAAGCCAAATATCATCTACAAAATAAATGACTGCTCAGATTGTGAAAAACACTACATAGGACAAAGTGGACGGCCTCTTCAACTTCGTTTACGTGAACACCAATTAGCAGTCAAACACCAGGACAACGCTTCGCTTATATCAATTCACATCGGCAATTGTGGACATACTTTTGATTGGAACAATGGAGAAATACTGGATAGGGGAAGGACAAAGAACAGTAGAGAATTCAGAACAATGAGATAACTCAAACTATTACTAATAATGATCTTTTGATAGAGATATTCCATGCAATGAAATATATCCCCCCTCCCTCAGAGATCGATAAGATATTTAGATTATAATCAGTGAAAAAATTTATTGTGTTCTTTTAATCAATCAACTTGGAAAAAAATAAATTTTGTGAATTAAGATTTTTAAAATATTGATTAGCGTGCATTCAAAAATTACACTCACTTATTCAGTCAAGTTATTAATCAGTCAGTCAGTCAGAGAGTTGCAACGTAGAACTTCGTACGTATGTACATAAGTTCATGTTGCTGCCATACCACATTAGCACAGAGACGTAAATGTCAAATCAAATCCAATAGTGATAAAGATAGTAGAGGTATTAATGGTAATGAAGAACACTAGGGTTAGAAGATATTATTCAAGAAGTATAATTCAGTGAGATAAGGTTAGAAAGACAAAGGTAGAGCTGCTGACGAATCCAGAATATTAGGATTTGAGAGAACACAACGAATGGATGCACTTGAGCCATTGCAAACGATTTTGAGCCATGTCATTATTCAAGGTCTCTAACCATTGATGACTTTCGTCTCGCGGACCCCAACCAGGTAGCCTACATTTACCAACCGGACTCAGTCCACTTGTCAGTAACTTCATGTTATTAATCATAAGTAAAATAAACCTCTTAATACACTGATTTCTTTTAATAAAAATCAAGTTTATTGTTTAAATACACTTTTTTTCTTTCTTGAATTAAATAAAATGAAAAAATAAAACAACCTCAAGTAAAAGATCTGTGTAAAGAAGAAAAAGCTTGGCTTCGTACACGTCCAACTGGTCCAATAAGTAAGTTGTATTTTAATACTTATCATTTTCAAATTATTACATTTTGTCTATTGTAAGTTTAAGTTTAACCTCAAAAAAATCTCACAAATGATATTCAATGATGTTGGTAGCCAGTGTCTTACTAGTTTCATGACGATCGAGTGTTCAACGTGTTCTTAGACTTCGTAATTTGCTCTTCTAGACAACCCATTACTAAATATGGCTTACTTACTAACTTACGCCTGTTGTCCCCAATTGGACCATAGGCCGCCTACCAGTTTTCTCCAACCAACTCTGTCCTGGGCTTCCCTCTCCAGTTCTGTCCAATGTTTGTTCATTCCTCTCATATCTTTAACTATTTCTCGGCGTAATGTATTCTTTGGCCTTCCTCTTTTCCTTTTGCCTTGAGAGTTCCATGTGAGGGCTTGTCTCGTGACGCAGTTAGGTGCTTTTCGTAGTGTGTGTCCTATCCACTTCCACCGCTTCTTCCTGATTTCCTCCTCCACTGGAATCTGATTTGTTCTCTCCCACAATACGTGCAACAATCACTGGTCCTTCCTTATTTCATGATGGGTACTTGTTTGTGGTATGAAGTTGATCTTTAACTGTGGTTAAGATAGCTTACAGAGTCTTTTAGGAGTCCGGAGTGCTTCTGTCCAATCACAGATAGAATATCGATATGTCATAAAGTGATTGGATGTTGATGTAACATTGCTAACTACGGATTGAATGATTTCATTGATGTTTTCACGTTATATATGGAAAACCATGAATGCACATATTTTCTCTGTATAGTAGTAGTATATTAACCTTTCTACTAATAAGGTTAAACAATTTATTTGAACAGGTAGAAGCATTGTTTGAATGTCAAAAGTAAAACAGGTTGAACAGTTTCAAATCAGTGTTATAATAAACCTTAATGCAGCAACTCAATCTCAATTAGAAATGACTTACAAATGAGTCAGCTAAATTACATACCATTTCCATCGCTGATTGTGTTCACAAATTCGAGTTTTGATTAATTTGACTGATAAAACGTTCGAATCATGATTCAAGAATGTTAGGATATTCATCCAATATCCTTAGAGAATTAATAGTCGATTCCTATTGGTTAATTCCTACTGGTCAATTTTATGGTTGTCCTGGATATCAATGTCACATACTTCAATGTTATTTCTTATTGGTTGTCCTGACTATCAATGTCACTTCAAATGTTGCTTCCTATTGGTCATCTTAACTGTCAGTGTCACAGACTTCGATGCTGTTTCCTATTCCTCCAAAATGTATAAATACGCATTATCTGTAACATTTTATGACCACGACCAGGACCAGGACCTGGTCCCGGATCCCTAGTCCAGGATCCTGATTCTCTTCTGGACTCGGACCTGATACTTTCTGAATGCTTGTAGAATACAGGTTCTACTTCATATCAAGTCTTGTCTTATTTTTACTCAATATGGGGTTTGGGATAATCGGATTTGAGTAGCATGTCTTGTCACCGGATCGTCTATCCTCGTTCTCTTTTTCCGACTAGGTAAACTCGTAATACTTTCATGTATATCAAGTTGATGTGTTTACGTGCAGGCGTAACAAAGAATTACGAGGATTTGTTTCAAGGGTGACTTAGATAAATTTGATCATGCTGTTAATGTCAAGATACTGTTAAGTAAAATTGATACCACTGAACATGAATGTTAAATTAGTAATCTAATCCTTACAAAATAACTCAAGAGATCTTACATTTCATGTAACAGTTTATACATTATCACAAATTCTTTTGTAAACAATCTTCTCTGTTCAATATTCATTATCAATTCTTCAAGATAATGAAAGTTAGTAATAAAGGCACTTGCAAACGATAAATTACTGGTCACTATTTAAATTATTATTTAAGTATCATTTAAATTATATAGTAGAATTGTAAACTGAATGTAACTGAAAATAAGACATTTCGCAGCTTCACATTCAGATGATTGTTGGTAAATCAAATAAATCTTATCTAATACTTACTTACTTACTTACTTACTTACATCTATTACCCCTAATGGAGCATCATAGGCTACTAACCAGTTTTCTCCAACCAACTCTGTCCTGGGCTTCGCTTTCTAGTTCTTTCCAATGTTTGTTCATTCCTCTCATATCTTTCTCCATTTCTCGGCGTAATGTGTTCCGTGGCCTTCCACTCTTCCTTTGACCTGGAAATTTCCGAATGGGGGCTTGTCTTGTGACGCAGTTGGGTGCTTTCCTCAATGTTATATCCTATCCACTTCCAATGCTTCTCCTTGATTTTCCTCCTCATAAAACACAAAAATATCCAAATTCGACTTCTTATCTACTTGAGAAGATTAAACGCTTACACCGAAACAATCAACTCATGGTATTATTTATTCAATGATCATATTGCTAGAAACTTTTGCCTAATTAAAATATTATTTTTCTTGTCGATAAAGTAATTTGCTAATCCAGAGCATAGAAGGAATGAGACATTCTCAACTGAAGTTCATAGCTGAATAATAAATATTCTCATTGTTGGGGACGTTAGACTCCCCAGAACTTGCTTGATAAATGTCTTTTGTTCATGGGTTGATCAGTTGAGCTTGAGATCACACATTTTCCACCAAGAAAATCCTTGACTGTTATTGGTTACTGTGTTATTTTAGTATGTTATTTTTGTGACTGTCCCAAAGATGTTTCTATGATGTATAAATAAACTCGATTTGTGTGCTTGAGATCATTCTATTTGCTGGATGTTTGTAGAATACACTTTCTATGCTATATCAAGACTTTTTCGTTAATTCCTTTGGATCAACGGATCAGACTAGGCTATCTGGACACTGGTTCATTGTTTCATTCTCGTTTATCAACTAATGTGAACCCGTACTAGTTTCAAGCATATCAAGTGACGAGCATAAGACTCATATATTTGATACTTGAAACTAAATAACAACATTTGCAAACAAATCTTATTTACTTGCTTAGCAGTCAGTTTATTTCAGAAGGTTCTCTTTTCATAAACTGTTCACTTTATGATGGGAATGTTACATTTTTAATTACATTCTCGTTGAAGACGATTCCAGTGTTCAAGAGTCGTTTTTTTATTCAGTTAAAAAAAGATTTTTCACTGAAATTGAGAGTTTCCCTCTTCAAACATGGTAGAGTTAAATCTTTTTGAACAAAGAAATGAGAAGACATATTTTGTGAGATAGTGGTACCATTTCGTGCTTTCTCGTCAGTCACATACAAGCAACATGTTATTTGTGTAAATACAGTTTTGAAGATAAGGTCAAAATTTCTTATTTAACATGACATTCACTCACTTAGAACCATGGTAAACAAAGGTCAACATACAGTTGTTTTTGAACACATAAAGTTGGACTTTTCCGACCAATCAAGATAGCTTCGAGTAGTTTCAGTGTGTGTGGGTTTTGATGACATGTCACAACTCTAAAGGCTGATTTTGGGTCAATTTGATGACCACTCATCATTAGATGCTTTACAATGGATGAGGCTGGGTTTCTTGATCGATCTTGAGATGACGGGTTAGGTGGATGAATCATGGATTTGATTAGTCATTTTGGAATATGTTCCCCTATCCTGTCTTCCAATCGGCGATCTTTACTCCCCAAGTAACTTTCTCAACAGTTACATGTGAATTGGTAAATATAGTGGGATTTGGACTGAATCGGTCTTGGAGACTTGATTGGGGTAACTGAGATCGATTTAGTTGTTGTGATAAGCCTCAGATTAACTGCATTGAAGGTCTTTTTTATTGCAGCTACAGTCTGTTTGTTTGTAATTTTCATGCAATGATCACCTTTGAAAGGTAACTGTAGGTACACTGGTTTCTTGGGTACATCAATTGCTATCGTCGTTTCGTCGTAGTTGTGTTCTGATGACCAATAAACGTTTCGACTGACGAAAAAGCATGAAGTGGTACCACTAACTCACAAAATATGTCTCCTCATTTCTCTATTCAAATTTATCAAAGGGAACCACTGTTTTTAAAGATTTTTGTCAAAAAACCTATACTCTTGTTTGTTAATCACGTAATAGTAGTTGCACTATGACAAAATGTTAACAATGGCAATTGTTTACCCTTTTATTTCGGTTAAATAGATTTCTTTCGTAAAATTACAACGACAAAACGTAATTATAAAAGATGGAAGAAAGTAAGTAGTGTTTTTTGAATTATTTTTTTTTGTCAGTTAAAAACGAAAACATTACATTGAATACTCTATTTGCACACCATCTCTTTGAGTCGTGACTTCCAACACTCCATCCTTCTTCCATTCCTGTTGTTGCTTCCTTTCCTTCCTCTGTTGGTACTCCATTTACTTCTTGCTTTTGTTCCATTTGCTTTCCGTTTTCCTCTTCTGACCGTGGTGAGACTTTTTCTTTCACGTCCCCATTCTTATACTACTTATATCGTTCGTATAAGTAGCACACACCACAATAGTGCACAAAAATGTATCTAATCAATTTTTAGTTAGATTTCTTTTTAATGGAATTTACAATTTATTTATTATTCAATGTTAAATTTATAGAAACGTTTTATTTTTACAATAACTTAATTTGGAAGCAATGGATGACCGATTGAGTCCTGGTATAGGACTCATCAGCAGTGCGTATCCACGACTCCTGCACTTCGCAGGATTCGAAACTAGGACCTTCGAACTTACGCGCGAATGCCTAACCTCCGGATTACTGGGTCGGATTTCAAATGTGTAATTTAACAGTCTTCACTACCCCGTAATGTAATTACATGTGCTCACTAAGGACTAGCTCCTGTGAGGAATCTTCTCCGAGTTCTAGTGGGAAGTTGTGATCAGTGAAGTTCAACCTTTTAGGGTGTAGACAGTAACTACTGAAGACGGTGTATGAGGTTGCACAACTCCTTGAATTGACCAACCCAGTGGTCCAGAGTTTATGCGTTCACGAACAAGACCGAAGGTCGTCTGTCCGAATCCTGCAAGGTGCAGGAGTCGTTGATATACACTGTTGATGAGTTCGATACTAGGACGAAACGGCCGTTCAGTCCTTCCAGGTTTCTAATAGTGGTGGTCTAACACTGATTAATTGATGATTTCAAAAATGTGTAACTTAACAATCTTTACAACCCCATAGTGTAAAAATACATGTACATATATAATTAACCAGTTAACCGACAGTTTTATCCTACCATTTGTATTCTGTTTTAATCTGGCGATTGTTTCTCCGCTAGTAAATTATCATCATTGTCAAATTTCAGTAAATTGTTCATTTAATCAAAATCATTGATTGAAATATACATGAATTGAAAGAATACAAACTTAATTTCATTGGTCAGAATGATTGGACAACGATATTCTAACCTTGAAATTGTATTCAAGGACGTTCAGTATCTGAAGGCTGACTAGAACTTATATATATAAATATATATATATATATATATATATATATATATATATATATGCATCTTTTTAATATTTACTGTTTTCCACAACAGCGATATTTTAACTTTTATCATTCTTTTCATTTCATATTTAGTTAGCTGAAAAAGCTTTGGAACAACAGAAAGAACAACTTGATTTCACTATTTTACCGGAATTTTCTCAGTCAGTAAGTTTATTCAGCTTTTTTTCTGTTTTTGGGTTATTACAAAATACTGATTTATGTTTCATTATTTTGTGTGCGTTTTTATATTCACTACTATTATTTATTTGTAGTGTCCTCACATATATTTGAATTCGTTTACATTTTATTACGTCAAGTCTTTGGGTTAATTTATTTAACCTGGTCATTTGTATAACAATAACTCACATGCATTACGGGGTAGTGAAGATTAATAAGTTACAGATTTTTGAAACCATGAATCGATCAATGTTAGACCACCATTTGAAGAAACCTGGGAGAAGCACTGGACGGCCGCTTCGTCCTGGTATGGGACTCCTCAGCAATGCGCATCCATGACTCCTGCACCCCGCAGGATTCGAACCCAGGACCTTCGGTATTGTGCGCGAACACCCTAACGATTAGACCACTGAGCCGGTATCTAACGGTGTGTTAGTAATATCTAACTTGATCAAATTCACGCAGTTGCGCAACCTCATACCCAGTCTTTGGTAGTTACTGTCTACACCCTAACAGGTTGAACTTCACTCCACGAAACGGCGGTCCAGTGCTTCCAGGTTTCTAATGGTGGTCTAACATTGATCGATTCGTGGTTTCAAAAAGGTGTAACTTAACAATCTTCACAATCCCGTAATGCAAATAACTCACATGTACCATTGGCTTTTATTATTGTGTGGTTTGTATAAGCTAGTATGACGGAGCATTGCTTACCGCCTACGCTTATATTCATCCAATTCGCTTTAATATTAATCTCTTAAATATCGCGATGACTCAGATATCTCCCTTTGTATATATATACGAACATTTTTATCTTATGAATGCACTCGCACATTCGCTCGCTAGTGTGTCTGCTCGATTTGCTTGTGGTCTGCTATCCTTTTTATGGCGTGCCAAAAATAAACGTATTCAATACTTCGAATTCATCTTCTGATTTATAAACTGTCAGGCTCTATTTGGCGACGATTTTCTGAACGAGTTAATTACGAAACTTAAGAACACCTCTAAATGGGCACACTACATATTCATTATGAAATAAATTATTTTGTGAATTGTAACTTATTACTTTTAAGTAGTATGGTTAATAACGTAACAAATTAATGTGGCTAAGTAGATCTTAATACAATAGAAAAGATGAATTTACAATTGATAAGAATACACTGGTGATCAGTACTGACTGCTTTTACGTGTTTGAGTCTAATATTCTGTTGAACATTAAAATATCAATAGACAAAGCATAATTTGAGACTGCAAAGAATTAAAATCTAGTTGAAATATTTTTCAAGTTGATATACATTTTTAAGCAAAGAGAAACGAATTAAATAATTTATGTTGATTAGCTCAACAATAGAATTTATTATTATCTGGTAAATTACTCTAACTGCTTAACAATATACATTAGAATATGGAATGGAAATAGTTGTTACCTCTATGATGAAGAATCAATCATAGTTTTATTTTTCCTTTGAACTGAGCATTTCCCAATGAAGTAATTGTCGACTACCTGGTTGGGGTCCGCGAGATGATAATAATCGATGGTTAGAGACCTTGAATGACATGGCTCAAAATCGTTCGCAATGGCATTTATGTTCTTTGTGTTCTCTCAAATCCTAATCTTCTGGATTCTTCAACATCTCTAGTTTTGACTTTCTAAACTTTTCTCACTGAATCATACTTCTTGAGTAGTATCTTCTAATCCTAACCTCTTCGATTACTTCTAATACTTTTACTACCTCTTCTACTATTTCAGTCATAAAAACACTTCCGAAGCTAAACTAATTTCTCATTATCATCTACTTAGTGGTTCAAGAAATCGATTTCGGAATGTGATGTATTTGAACGATAACGAGTTCATATTAGTCGGTAAGCAAGAGCGAGGATCGATGATCTGACGACACGACAGGCGAATACTCTAATCCGATTGTCTCAAACCTCCATTGAGTAGAAGAAGAAGACTTGATATGAAGTAGAACATGTATTCTCTACAAGCATCCAGAAAGTACGAGTTCCGAGTCTAGAAGAGAATCAGGATCCCGGACTAAGGGATCCGCGTCATAAAACGTTATAGATAATGTGTATTTATACAGTTACGTCGAGTAGGCAACAACATTGAAGCCTGTGATATTGATAGTTAGGACTACCAATGAGAAACACCATTTGAAATGATGATGGCAGTCAGAACGACCAATAGGAATTGACCAATAGAACTAGACTTACAAATAATTTTCATTGGATGTTAAATGAATATCCTAACAGAATGCGAAGATGATTTTTATTATTAACTATCAAAGAAAAGTAATAAAAACACATGATAGTTGTCCTATCGTAGTTAATTACTTTTAGGAGGCGCACAAACATTTACTTACTTACTTACGCCTGTTACCCCCAATAGAGCATAGGCCGCCCACTAGTTTCCTCCAACCAACTCTGTCCTGGGCTTCCTTCTCCAGTTCTGTCCAATGTTTGTTCATTCTTCTCATATCTTCTTCTATTTCTCGGCGTAATGTGTTCTTTGGACTTCCTCTTTTCCTTTTGCCTTGAAGGTTCCATGTGAGGGCTTGTCTCGTGATGCTGTTAAGTACTTTTCGTACTGTGTGTCCTATCCACTTCCACCGCTTCTTCCTGATTTCCTCCTCCACTGGAATCTGGTTTGTTCTCTTCCACAGTAGGTTGTTGCTGATGGTGTCTGGCCAACAAATCCGAAGTATTTTGCGTAGACAACTGTTAATGAATACCGTGAATAGTCTAGATGATGGCTTTGGTAGTTCTCCATGTTTCCGCTCCATACAGTGGAACTGTCTTCACATTTGTATTGAAAATCGTGATTTTGGTTTTGGTTGAAAGTTGTTTTGAGTTGCAGATATTTTTCAACTGTAGAAATGCAGCCGTTGCTTGACAATCCGCTCCCTCACATCTGCATCAGATCGACCTTTGTTGTCAATGTATTAAACTACATATTTCTTAATAATGTTGTAAGTTATTTTAATAATTTTTTAGTAAAAAAAGCCTCAACATCTCAAATTTCATGTATTTATCATTTAAATAACTAAATTTTTCAAATCCTATTTCTATTTTAGACAACTATTGATTCATCCGTGCTTCTCAATCATCATGCTAATCGTCAATCTAATAATGAAGAACGTTTGAAAAAATTCTCAACACATTTAAATCCCAACATTTTAAATACTATTAAAACACAACTGTTACAGTTAGATAGAAAAATTGATTTTGATTTAAAAGAAACTGATCAACTGGAAGAAAATGAACATGTTGAAGAACAACGTCTTATTAGACAAAAAGTGGAAGAAGTCAGTGATGATCAAACATTTGATTCTGTAAAAATTCATTTATCCAATTCAGAAAACGACTATCAAACTGAAGAAGAATTGTTATTGGAAAGCAAACGATTAATTGAAGCATTTGATCAACATGTGAATATGCGTAAAAAGCTAAGGGATGAAGAAATTTTAGCTAAATATAAAGGTTAGTTCAGTAGCTATTATTTATCTCTGATTCTAATAATTATTATATGACATTTAAATATTGGAGGAGTGGGGGGAATGGAACTAAATTTTACAAATTGATTGATTACATGATTAAGTTTTGCAAAAAAATATTGATTTTTATCTTTTTTATACACTGAACTTTGTCTTGATAAATACAGAATGTTAATAGAAAAATATGATCACTGAACTAATAATGATTACAACTCATGGAACTTAATCGTCAGATTTCAATTGACTAGGTTTTAAGAGAAGTCATACGACAAAATTATATATATATATAGGCATTACGGAGTTGTGAAGATTGTTAAATTACACATTTTTTGAAACCATGAATCGATCAATGTTAGACTGTCAGCATTAGAAACCTGGAAGCACTGAAGTTCAACCTGTTCGGGTGTAGACACTGTCTACCGAAGACTGTGTATGCGGTTGCGCAAGTCCGTGAATTGATCGAAGTTAAACATTAACACTGTCAGATACCGGCTCAGTGGTCCGATGGTTAGGCGTTCGCGCACAATACCGAAGGTCTTGGGTTCGGATCCTGCGGGGTGCATGAGTCGTGGGTGCGCACTGCCACTGAGGAGTCCCATACAAGTATACTGGACTTCGTACGTGATCTGACTCTTCTATGACACACGAAACAACAAATGCAAGAGAAGACAATGAGTGTAGCAGCAGCAGGTATCAACATACATTAAGAGAAAAGCGAGATTCTCCGATACAATACAACATGCACCAACCAAAACACTCTTGATGGTGAAGGCTTCGAGGATGTAAAAACCTTCACATATTCAGGCAGCATTATTGATAATAAATAAGGTGGATTTGATGCAGATGTGAAGGCGCGACTTGGCAAAGAAAGAGTTGCATTTCTACAGTCGAAAAATATCTGGAACTTCAAATAACTTTCAACCAACACCAAAGTCAGAATTTTCAATACAAATACTAAGACAATTCTACTGCATGCAGCTGAAACTTTGAGAATTACTAAAGCCATCATCCAGAAAATACAAGTGCCTATTAACAGTTGTCTACGCAAAATACTTCGGATTCGTTGGTCAGACACCATTAGAAACAACCTAACGAGGGAGAGAACAAACAAGATTTCAACGGAGGAAGAAGCCCTGGAAGTTGATCAGACACTCTTTACGTATAGCACCCAACTGCGTCACAAATCAAGCCCTCACTTGAAATCTGTAAGATCAAAAGTAAAGAGAAAGGCCAAGGAACACAGTAAGCCGAGAAACGGAAACAGACATGATAAGAGTGATCAGAAATCGGACAGAACTTGAAAAGGATGGTCAGAATAGAGTAGGTTAGAGAATACTGGTCGTCGACCTATGTTTCATTGTGGATAGTTATTAGGGAATCAAACTACTTCAACCGAAACTGAATGCTTGAAAGCTCCGTATCAAAAAATACATAAAATCTTTTGAAAATCTCCTTTCCTTTGTCTATATCATAGTTTTTAATCCATTAACAAAATGACAAGTTCTGTATGTTAATTGAAATGTAGTTTCGTTAATAAGTGCAAAATGTGATCAAAAATGTTTATTCCATCGACAGCACATTTCGTACATAAAGTCATCATCATTACACTGTGGATAAACAGTGGGCTGGTACGGGTATGAGAGCGTTTGTCACTTCCCAGCTGCCCACACCGTGGAAGGTTTTTTGTTGAGGGACCTGAAAAGGAAGGTAGATTAGTGTTGGTCTTAGAGACCTGGGTGCGTAACCGCAGAGCCCAAGGGACAACTGCTTGAGGCCGGTCATACACGGCCTTTTTATGAAAGGTTTTTTGAGGATTAGCTCCGCTCTTTTAAAGCCCTTTGTGGGCAGCCCTTACCGACGGAGAAAGAAATCCGTGAGGTAGGTTGAGGTGTGACATTTTTAGGGTCGACCTTTTCTAACCCTTCCTTCCTTGTGAGAAGGCAGCAGTATCGCTGCAGATGCTGGTTGTCCGAGGGAAACACCTTACTGCTGTCACACCCCTCTGCAGTCAGCAGTACGACTACGCCCTCAGAACTTGGGTAGCTGCATTTAGTCTGATCGTTCTCCAATCGACCAGCCTGACATGGTATAACCTTCAGGAACATATGTTCTAGCCAGCACAGCTCGGTTGGATCATCACGATAGGCAAGCCCGACCACCACGTCAAGGTAGCAGCTAGGTCGGGGTGGATGAACAGTTGTCTACATTCAAATATAAAAACAGTTAAGAAATACACCTGTAAACATTTTCCATAGATTTGAATTCCAAGGGAATCATCAATTTCCTTCAATGTTGCTGCTATTAATCATTATTTTTATTAAAAAAAAGTGTAAAACGTTTGTATACAAATTGATTTCAATCATTATGAATGGATTTACATAAAAATTATTTACATTTGCAAAATACCATCTCATCTAAACTTGTATTTTTTATCTTACACTGAAAAGATTTCTCTGTTGGTTAATGTACTCATTACTGTTGATTAGGTATTGTTTGGGAAGAGTAAGATCTTCAGGAATCACTTGAAAAATGTCCTAATTTTGTAATTCATTTCTGAAATTTCGAATTTCTATGTTTTCGCGCCAAATGACCTTTCCCACTCGGAAAACCCTTTACTGTCATTGTCTGATGTATTGTTTTAGTACGCTAATTTTGTGGCTCCCACCAAGGGCGTTTCTATCATTGCATAATTATCCTTGATTTGTGTGCTTAGCAACCGAATTTTCTCGGATGCTTGTAGAATACATTCCCTATGTCTTATCTAGACGTCTTGATATAGTTAGCGGGACAATCGGATTAGAATAGCCTATCGTGTCACTTAGTTATTGCTCATTGTTCTGGTTTACCGAGTAAGGCGTTTACCGAGTAATATAGCATTCAATTATATTAGTTGACGAGCAGCATATCAAGTATCACCTGAAAAAATATTTTCAAATAACTTTGTTTGTATGCGAATATGATGGTATCATACACAATTAAGAACAATGGATAGTAACATCATTTACACAAAATCTGAATGATATACCATTACATGTGTTTAGGTTGATTCATTTCAGCAGTAATATATTGACCGTACTGCATTCAATTAATTAACTTGTATATCACTAAAAATACATATAGTCAATCAATTACTACGTGGAACTCTGTACATGAGTACATAAGTTCAGGTTACCATACTACATTAGCTCAGAGAGGCAACTGTCGATTTGAATCCCATAGTGGTAGCGATAGTAGAAGTATTAGCAGTAATGAAGAAGAATAGGGTTTGAAGATATGATTCAAGAAGTTTGATTCAGTGAGATAAATTTAGAAAGAGATAGGTAGAGTTGACGACGAATTCAGAAGATTAGAATTTAAGAGAATACAACGAGTGTGTGCACTCGCGCCATTGTAAATGATTTTGAGCAATGTCGTTTAAGGTCACTAACCGTCGCCGACCTAAACAAGGTAACCTACAATATGATACCAACATGATACAGTTCACTTGTCAGTGACTTCATGGATATCTGCCATATTTTAGTTTGGTCGCCGCTAGCTTTCTTCCAACCTACTACTACAACACAAAACAGTCGGTGGTTGGGCATACGTAACACATATCTTAACCACCTCAACTGATGAAGTTTCAATACTTTATCGATTGATCTGCCATTCTTACCTAGTACTCGTTTCCTAACGACAGCATTGCTTACTCGGTTGTCCCAGGATATACGAGCAATGCTTCGAAGACATCTATTATCGAAAACTAGTAACCTAAGAATGTCTTCTACTCTGACTGGCCATGTTTCGCATCCATATAGTAGGACAGACCGTAGTAAACTCGTCTTTTGGTTAGCAAGTGGATATCTCGCCTATGCCATAAGTGACGCAAGTTAGCAAAAGCCAGTCGAGCTTTCTGCATTCGTTCTGAGATTTCATCAGTCACCAGTCCATCAGCACTGATGAGACTCCCGAGATAAATGAAACGGTCTACACGTTCGACTACTTTACTACCTATCACTAGTTCAGGTGACCATGCAACACATACAATCAAATTCAGTTATCCTGTATAAAGTTTTCAATAATAAAATTGTGACAAACATTTTTTTCGTCTTTGAATGAAATACTTGTTTTTTTAATTTTTACTTATCAATATTGTTAACTTTCTTTTCTTATGAATCTGTTTCTCTTTTCTATTATAATGACAATCAATCATCGACATCAGAATATCAAGATGAAGGAATTTTGCCTGAACTAGAAGGCATACAACAAGATATTGTTAATACACATGAACTAGAGTATGTGTAATTTTTTATTTTCATAATCGGTATAATATTTTTTGAATTTTCAGATTTGGTAATTCTACAGTTAGAATAACACTTATAAGCGAACAATATTGTTTTCGATTAGATCGTCATCAGGCTGCTTTACTCTAAGATACATGAATATTTAAATGAAAATGTTAAACCAGTCAAGACAATTTGAGTGATAATCACAATGAAATGAAAAAAGGCAAAAGTACAAGTGGATAGTAGGAAGACAGAGGTGTACTGATAGTAGTAAGAAAATCTATAAAATATGATAACTAAAGTAGGTCAAAGGTGGATGAATAGACTTCAAATAGTCAATAAAAAACATCAAAACCATTACGTAATAAGCAAATATGTAAAAATATAATGTCAATCGTTAGTTACGTCATATCCGGCCACGGGAGAGATAGAGGTGTCACGAAATTCTCCTGAATACATAAATTAGGGTTGAATGTACGTATTCCTGTGGCTTCTGCAATGTATGTAGGAGACGGGATCGAACTCCGTTGGGAAATGATTGAGGTATAAGATAGATATTCCGATATAATGTTATCTCGTTTTCTATAAATCGTCTGAGAGTTATTTATATATATTAATAGAACCATAAGAGATTTAACAAATTTTGAAAACGTTTTCTCCGTTGATATTGGTATCTAAGGTAGAAATGATTTGTTGTGGATAAATTTGCTAAATGAACGCATGATCTGATTACCTCTCCGCATCTGTTAACCCCGAGACTAAATCTGTTGAGAGGTTGATGCATGGCACCAATCGTTTTGGTCTGAATACTGGCTGTGCTTCTCATGGAAGGATGAGGGAAGCTTTTGATCTAGTGCATTCCCCCCGAACCATCACTAAATACTATTTTATGTCAGTCATATTATTAATGCGCCGACCAATTTTAATAGCCTCTACGTCGTTGCAGATTAAGTTAATTTGGTGATCGGTCAACTTCTTCAACTTATCCAGTCCTAGTCCGAGTTACTACTGCTTTCTCGATAATTTTTTTCACCATGACTTCGCAGTGTTTTTCATCAACAATGTTTAACATTCCATTAGATAGATACACAGTTAGTTGGTTGTTCAGTTGTGTAGATCTTCGGTGACGCGATCTTCTCTGATGTTTTGCTTCTTATGTGATTTTGTCAGTAGTTATATCCACCTGTAAGTAAGCATGATAACGATTCATCTTATTGGAAACATATTTTCTACGATTTAAATGAAACTCTATAGTTAAAAGCTACTCTCACTCTGGCCGTTCGTAGTTTGAATCGCTTAGAATATACTTTTTGGTTGATGGTGGCATCTTCTAGTTTTACTGTGACTTTCTTTATGCCATTTTCTAGAATATGTTGTACGATGACTTTGAAACGGGCTAAACCTTTTGAAATGTCAACCTCCACACAGACAGCGTGGCTTATAGCTGTCATTGCGGTAATTCTGTGTGCTAACAAATAGTGGCTCTTTTCTCTCAACTTCATTGATATCTTGTAATCGGATACTGTTCACTCTCTTCGGGGTTTCGCTTTTCGAATTCCCTAGCCTTTGGCACTTACTAGTCACTTCTTGTAAGCCAATGCTGGAGCAGTATTCACGTTTGCTTAGGATTCATGTTTGGATATCTTGTAGTGAAGGAGAACACAGGTGAGGGCAACCGAATTGTATTTAACGCAAATTACAGAGTTACTCAGTAAAATAGGAAAACCATATCGTAACCGTTAATTTGCAAATCTTCAATCCATCATCAATCCATTGTCTGACATTTCACTATTCATGCTATTTCATACAAATTCCATTGTGTTCCCACTCTTCCTTTCTTGATCTTCCCTCATCTCCTGCTTCCAGACATTACGTTTTTACTCGCGTCATATACTACTTATAAGTAGCGTGCACCGCAATCTGAGTACTCGTATAAATTCAGGCTGCGGATATATACGAGACACTTGAACTGATCTTTTGTCTTAGAATACAACTTAAACCCCTGACATTCTCAGTTCACAATACCTGTATGCTTTAACCAGCCGTCTCATGAATATTAAGAAGTGATAACTGTTCTCAGAAGTTTTCAGACAAGATTTTAAATGTTTAATCAAAATCAAATTCCGGTGGCGTCGTCTGAAGAATAAAGTTTCTGTGGCGTGTATTTTTCACTGTTCCAAATTTTCTTAAAAGTATTCTCAATTTTGAAGCGTCATACATAACTAATGGAATTTATTACTTGAGTTCACAAGGTTAAGATTCATAAAAGGCGTATTTTGTTGAGTATTCAGTCTCAGATATGTCACAGGTGAGCCCTTTCAAATCACTGATATTTAGATAATATAAACATTAAGTTCAAAAGAAAATGAAAATGTTCAACAACATCGAAAAGTACTCAATAATTTATATTCAACCTCTTATGTGAAATGCTGTCTATTATAGAATTAAAACAGCTGAATTGGTACGTTACATCAGATTGGGGAGTTATTCAAACTTGATCTCAGCTTTTTTTAGAAGTTACGAATAGTTTTTATGATATTCATAATCTATGATTAAAGATATTCAGTCATCAGATCAATCCACTTACAATGTAGCCAATCCACTTGTTCCCTATCTAGTTTTTAAATTTCCTAGTTGAAATATAGTTGTATACTATTTTATTGATATACTTGAAACTATCACGAGTTCACCTTACTTGGTAAACATAACGAAGAGCAATAACTCAGTGACACGATAGGCTATTCTAATCCGATTGTCCCAGGCTCTGCTAACAAAAGCAAGAAGTCTTGATAAGGTGTTGAGAATGTATTCTACAAGCACACAAATCAAGCTTCTTTATAAAATGATAGGAACGCCATTTGGAGAGCGACAAAAATAGCGTACTAAAATAATACATCAGACAAAGACAGTCAAGGGTTTTTCGAGGGGCAACTATGAGCTGAAGGTCAATTGGCGCGAAAACATGGAAATTCAAATTTTCAGAATAAAATTAGAAAATCAGAACCTTTTTCAAGTGAGTTCTGAGGATCTAACGTCCCCAACATTTATTGACAATATGGTATGGCAACTTGAAATGTTGTACTTACTACGTACGATGTTCTACGATGTAACTGACTGACTCTTTTGTTTTTGAAGTCCACGTTCTTGCGGGCTGTTTAATCCTGAAGCTTTACTCATCCTTCTAAGCACTATTATTAATATACTATTTAAAATAGAAACCTGTACAGCTAATGATGAAGATTTCTCAGTTGAAGCACCTACCTCAGAGAACCTATCTGTAACCAAAATCATCCTTTTAAGCTACTAATCTGAAAATGTCGTAAATAGTCCGGAAATTATCGAATCACTGAATCATAACAAAAAAATCAATAATGAATTTGAATTTCTTTTCATAATCATTGAATTGTCAAGAAACCTGTCATCTAGTTACAATCATTAGTTATAGTCATTACCTTAAAGAGTAATGTGATTATTTTTGTTGGTAAATCAGCCTCACAAGGGAATGAATGAGAAGATTGCGGTGGCTGAATAGTTTTTGGTTGTGAAGTTTTTATTGTTCTTCTTCTTCTTCTGAACAACATCATTAGCACAAGATATGAAGAGTATTCGGATTTCTGCAATCAACATCAGGGTTAACAGAACAAGCTACAGGTCAAACGTGAAGAAATTCGAATACTCTTCACTTCTTCGATCTGAAGTTTGTGCTTATGATGATGTTATTCAGAAGAAGAACAATGAAAACTGAGATAGTGGAGAAAGCTTGTAGCTCAGGTGGATGATTGTGGTGGTGCTTCGTTCTCTGAGCTGGATGTTTTGGTTATGGAGCTTTCATTGTTCTTCTGCTGAACAACATCATCAGCACAAACTTCCAATAGCAGAAGTGGAGCATTCGAATTTCTCCAAGTTTGACCTGTAGCATGTTCTGCTAACCTCGCTCTTGACCTTAAACCTGTCGTTGTTTGCACATTTTTTATCTGTTTTTTGATCCTATGTCGCCTATGATTTTTCTGATTGGTTGATATATTGAGTAAATGTCGATGTGTTTGTTGACTGCTAATTAACCTGAGTGCTAAGCTTCTAAAAATTTTCTAGTGTTCTTTGTCCTCTCCCTATCCAGCCAGTATTTCCACATTGTCCCAGTCGAGTGTATGTCTATAATTGTCGGTATGTATTGATATAAGCGAAGAGTTGTCGTGGCGTTTTACTGCTAATCGGTGTTCACGTAAACGAAGCTGGTGAGGCCGTCCACTTTGTCCTATGTAGTGTTTTTCACAGTCTGAGCAACTCTTTCTCTACTCCTCATCGTACCCTACTTACATAATCAATGAAATCATAATAATATGATCAATTGAATATTGAATATATAATTGAAACATTCAATGTTTTTCATGAATCAATCAATATTCAATGTTACATTGATAATGAAGATTATTTTATTTTGTAAATCAATTACTGGTTTGTTCTCTCAAATCCTAATCTTCTGGATTCTTCAACCCCTCTAGCTTTGTCTTTCTAAACTTTTCTCACTGAATCATACTTCTTGAATAATATCTTCTAACCCTATCCTCTCCGATTACTTCCAATACCTTTACTACCTCTACTACTATTGTATTTGAATTGACAATTACATCTGTGTGCTAATGTGATGGTATGGCAACATGAACTTATGTACTTACGTACGAAGTTCTACGTTGCATCTGACTGACTGACTGACTGGTTTGTTTTATATTTTTGATTGTAAAAACATCAGATTGGCAGAAGAATTAACTGAAGCTCTAGATGAAGTAGAAGAAATAGAGGAAGAAGAAGTAGAAGAAGGAGAAATCGAAGCTATGAAAGAAACACATGATGATTTCAATGAAACTAAAAGAGTAAAATCTAAACTTCTTATAGTTCATGATTTATTACGTGAACGTATAGGATTGGAACGAAGTTTAAAGGTATGATTAGAAGTTTAATTTATCAATATTGAGTTATATGTATATATCTATATTACTGAACTTTGAATTTGTTTCATAGTGTTATAAACAGTAAACAAGCAGTATACAATTGCCTGTCAAATTTGAATGATTAAACTTGAATTCTACTCTAATTCTGTTACAATATAGCTATCGGTGTAAATGACTTAATGCTATGATGTGTAGAATACAAACTGAAGTTTAGACTGAGGAATAACACTGTTTAGGTAGTTTAGATACTTGTCTTCACCCAGTTTAAGTCCAAAACAAGTGATCTCGGTAAATAACGGTTCTAAAAAATATTACCACTCAGTTATTCTACCAACAATTGTACAATTATTCAAATCAATGATATTCTATCCCACATGGATAGATCAGATTCGTTCGAAAGATAATACTTGGTCACTATATAACACAGATTGCTTCTTATTCTAGAAGGGTGCTTCGATTCACAATTAAAATGCACAATTCCAGTCCGTACAAGCAACCCAATCAAAAGAGGAACAAGTCAATATGGCTGTCGTCATGACTAAGACTATCAACTTAAACAACATAAATGCAGTTCACAAGGAAACATAGAAACTCAGTAAAGGCGGAGGAAATAGAAACTATTATAAAATATACATATTATCATCACAAAATGGAATCGAACAGATTCACAAAATATACAACTGAAAGAATCTCAATAAGAACAAATAACAAACAAAGCGTTCCAAATTAGATCTTACATGGTGTTGTATTAGGTTTAAGTGTTTCAACAATTTATAGACTATAAATAGGAGGATATCAGAAAACCGTAACACATGTAGAAACCAGGTGAGGGCGCGGATTGGCAAAGCAACGGCTGCATTTTTACAGTTGAAAAATATCTGCAACTCCAAACAACTTTCAACCAAAACCAAAATCACGATTTTCAGTACAAATGTCAAGACAGTTGTTCTACTGTATGGAACGGAAACTTGGAGAACTACGAAAGGCATCATCCAGAATATACAAGTGTTTATGAACAGTTGTCTATGCAAAATACTTCGGATTCGTTGGCCAGACACCATCAGCAACAACGTACTGTGGGAGAGAACAAACCAGATTCCAGTGGGGGAGGATATCAGGAAGAAGTGGTGGAAGTGGATAGGACACAGACTACGAAAAGCACCTAACTGCGTCACGAGACTAGCCCTCACATGGAACCCTCAAGGTAAAAAGGAAAAGAGGAAGGCCAAGGAACATATTACACCGAGAAATAGAGAAAGATATGAGAGGAATGAACAAACATTAGACAGAACTGGAGAAGGAAGCCCTGGACAGAGTTGGTTGGAGAAAACTGGTGGGTGGCCTATGCTCCTTTAGGGGGTAACAGGCGTAAGTTATTAAGTAAGTATTTAGAAACCAGCCAGCATCCAACAGTGTTTTTAGCTACTCATTTGAATCAATACATGATACGACTGTGCTACCATCATCGATTGTCTTCTATGAGTCACTGCCTCATATCTATCACACTACCGTTATCGGATGAAATTTCAATCTAACCATTATTCTTATTATGATGTTGTTTCACAAAAACGATTATAATCCAATACAATCAACAAATAATTATCACTGTAAAAGCTTTAATGTGTTAGCCTACTTCTATGTTCAGTTTGGTGAAGTCAAGGTTCTAAAATGATTTAATTTGGCTGTGAACATAAGCCACTGGATTTCCAAAATACAGACATATTCGACTAGGACGGATTTATTGATAACTAAAAAAGAATCGTCATTTCATATACATAGAAAACAATAATACAGTGTAGTAGTGTTGGGGATGTTAGATCCTCAGAACTCGCTTGATAAATGCCTTATTTTGGTTTTCACGTTTGCCAGCATGGGCTGATCAGTTGACATTGAGATTTCATTTCCCATCAGGAAAATCCATGGCTGTGATTGGCTGCTGTGTATTTTAGTGAGCTATTTTTGTGACTGTCCCGAGGACGTTTCTATAATGTATAAATAAACGAGAGTTGTATGCTTGATTGTATTGTGTGATTGTTGGGTGTTTGTAGAATGTACTTTCTACGCTTACAAAGCCTTCTATCTTCAGCTTGGGGATTCAAGGTAGCCTACCTGGACGCTATTAATTGTCTCGTTCGCGTTTATCGACTAAGGTAAACTCGTAATAGGCTCAAGCATACTGAGTGACGAACTCAATAAGTAGCTTACATTTTAATCCTATCAATATTTAGCTTTTGCGCTGTATAGTTTAGTCAGGATGCATTTTGATAATTGGCGATGTTTTTAGTTATCTTAGGAAACTCTCATTAACATGTAGGGGGGGATCTATTAGGGCAATTAAGCTGAAACACTTAGAAGCTACATTCAAAGACGCAGTCATTATGCTTACAAAATTGTCTTTACTTAATTACATTGATATATTTCATCCATTTTAATGTAACATTTAAAATATTTGAATATCCTTTCGTTATTTTCACTTAGATTACACCTGCTTTTGTATGGTCATACTTTGAATTATTAAGAAAAATGAAAAAGAAACTTCCACCATTAGAAATTCCAGGTGGTCAAGAATCGAATGAAACAATTGAATTGAACATTTAATGTTATCACTTACTGAATCATTCGCTGTTTTTATTACTTGTATTTATAAAAAAAAGGAATATTTTTATCTCTCTCTGTTTTATTCTGGAAACCAGTTGTATTGTAGTTGTGTCCAAATTCAACGGCGGGCTCACCATGTTGTTGTGGCCACATATCTGCGTGTTCTTATTCGCGGTAATGAAGCTCGTCTAGACAATCGTTACATAGTAGTGTCTGACGGTTATAAATAAGAAGATGAACTCGTAGTGATGAATCCGTTTATTCGGGACACACCACAAAGCGAATCGGAGAAGCAATGTGAATAAAACGATGAAGCTACGTGAATTGGAGAAGGCTGTTGAGCCAACTCTTAGAGATAGAGCATGACTAAGAATATTTAGTCAGACAAAAATAAAACAGACATGTGATCAACGAGATAGGCATGCACACACATGAATAAAAGTGACGAATAGTTGACAAGGTCAAATGACAAGTGGGACACGTCATGTGAGCTCATACAAACCAAACAATAATAAGAACGAATGGTACATATAAGTTGTTGCTACGCAAATGGCTTGGTTAAATAAGTGATTAATCGAAAGGGCTTAACCAAGTTCGATGTAAGCGAACTGGAATATATGTGGAGGCACTTCAGTATTACTTGTGTAATTTCCATATTTTCGACCTTAGGTTGATTACTGAGTGTAAGGGGACCGAAAGCTCTACTCCTGTTACACATTTATCTTGAATTTCTAAGAAGTGATCTACATAATGGACTGCCTGTATACTAACCATTGAGTTGGATGTATCATTATTAAGGAATAAAATTAGTAGTATTGGGATCACATAAATGCTATCAGTTCACAGATTCTATTACATTTATGTTGTGGTATGAATACCGATTTTCATTTTTACTTTGTTGAATCAAAACATCGATTTGTGGAGGATGTTAAAAACAGTCCGCCAGAAATGTGGTTATTCTTCAAAGGATGCTTCCAAGGGTTACAATATTCGGTGTCTTCATTTAGTTGCTTCATACATAATGTGACTTTTAGCCCGAAAAGTGCTGCTATTTCATTATTTTGTCCATCCGACGTTTATTTACCGCATCAAATATTTAGAGGAGATCCCGACCTCTTGACTTACTTTGCTAAGAAACGACTTACCTGAAAAATTTTTCACTGATAAATTCTTCATTACGCGAATCATTTTTAATATTAAATTTGAAATATGGTTCAAGCTTTAGGCCACTTGCTTACAGAGCGAAATAGAACATTTGAAAGTCATAGAGAAGAAGAATGTTTCAAGCAATACATAAGCAGGTTAACTGTGGGAACGATTCTCTTGTGATATACCAAGTTATCTTTGCGTAAAGTGATGAATTGCGTTTGGCATGACTGTCTCCTGTGATTTTTTAATTTGACGTCCAAGCCTTTTTTTAGTTTTTCGTGACATATCACGTTCTTATAGGGAAGCTGTTATGTTTTGTGTCATCCAGTTAGGTGACATATCAGTAGCCCCAGAGTTGTGTTTCACAAAGGTGTCTATCTGAGAGAGTGATGTCTGAAGATGGAAATTTATTGTGTGATAAAATTATTTTGATTATCAGAACAGATGTGAATGTAGTCATCTAATAATCAGTTTGTACTGTAAATGGATCTCTGAAGATTAGTTGAACATAGTTGGTAGGTAGATTTTCTTCTATAAATATATATCCCATCCAGTATTGATGTACTCTTTCATTACACCAGGAGGATGTAAGTTGTTCATTTCATACAGGGTCCAATGTTGATGCTAGAATATTTCGACCAGTTTACTGTCAGTCCTTTGTCCACTGCCTATTCCTCTACTGCCGTAAGGATTTTTAAAGTTCAAGTTAATAATTTTCGTTTTTACTGGATCTTCAGATGTTTGCTTCGTCTGTCTAGACTATCGCAACCGAGATTTGTTAATCTGACAGATCGAAAAGTGGATTGTACCTTATTTGGTTTCTAGTCAATGTCCTGAATTTGTAACTCACCATTTGTCTTCGTGCAAGACCTTCTACTAAGATCCAAGACATCAGTATGTCAGTAAATTCAGTCATCACAGCCATATGAAATAGAACTATATAGGGTAATGTTTTTTGTGTTTACAAACGAACATCTTAAAACGATTGCTAATGTTCCTACTCTGAGAATTATTCTCAAATATTTCAAGACTTTCCAAAAAAGTCAACCACAATAACCATAATTATTACTGGTGTCACAATTTCAGGCACTAGGACTCCTGTCATACGTTTGGCTGAGGTGTGCCGATTTACTGCGTGTTCTTATAGCTCCGTTTATAAATCAGAAGGTGAACTCTTATTGATGAATACGTTTATTTGAGGCACACCACATAGCGAATTGGAGAAGCGACGTGGAGAAGGCTAGTGAGCCAACTCCTTGGATTACAATGCGAGCGAATGGATGAAGCGAATAGGAGAAGGCTAGTGAGCCAACTCAAAGAGATAGAGTATGACTAAGAATATATAGTCAGACAATAATAAGACAGACATATGACAAGCGAAATAGGTATGCACACACATGAATAAAAGCGACGAATGATTGACGAGGTCAAATGACAAGCGATACAAATCATGTGAGTTCATGGGAATATTACGAGATTAACATTAAAGCGAAAAGGATGAGTAAGTGCGTAAGCGTAAGCAATGCTCAGTCGTACAAGCTCATACAAAGCAGATAATAAAAAATACCAATGGTACATATGAGTTGTTGCTATACAAATGGCTTGGTTAAATAAATTAATCGAAAGGGCTTAAGCAAATTAAATGTAAGCGGATGCAAATAAATGTGGTGGCACTACATGGCAACACACCCGCCGGCACGAGCGAACGGTAGATGTTCTCGATGGATGTGGACGAATGTTACACATCACTAAAAGGATGATGAAGGTTTACTACCTAGTCAAACTAAGTAAAGAATTAGGTATCCTTCTTGCAAAAACACAGTAATGCTGTAAGCATGCAGAAAAGTCAAGGTCGGATCGACTTCTTGACTTTTTCAGTTAAAATCAAAGTAATTTTCGGGTCGACGTACAAATTGGTGGTCATTATTGACTCCTGGAAACCAGAGTAAGTAGCTGTGTCTATTTAACGGACTGTAAGGTTCTTCCCGGATTCCGCCTGTAACCCCTGTAGAATCATTTTTTGAATGTTTTGTTTTTTGGAAAATCCCTCCATGTTTACATATTTTTGTTATGACATGACGGACTTTTTCTGTTGTCATTTTTGGTATTTTATTTGATTCCATTTTGAGATTTTATCATTGTATATTGTTATTCTTTCTATATTTTGTACTTATATTGAAGTTTTTGTGTTTGCTTCTGAACTGTACACATGTTGTTTAAATTTGATCTTTAATATGGCTACAGCCATATTTGGATTTGATACTGTTGCGGTTGGATCTAGCATCACTTATTCTTTTTGAACTCGGATACTCATCAGAGTAATTGGGACTTGGAAGGTGTATCAAAAGTCAGGTACTTGTTTGTATTTCCACTTTTTATAAAAATAGACCACTTTCTCCTAGAATTATTGTGTTCTGATATTGGACTAGGAGAGGGGTGCGTTCGACTTACACCTACTGGAAACAAATTGAACTGCTACGGTAGAAAATTCATCACCAGTCTGACTTTTGAGAAGAACAAGCCTACTACAGTCTGATTATTAAGAAGAATAAGGAAACATTTGTAATTTTAATCGTTTATGATATTAAACTTCTTGGAAGAAGAACTTTGGATTACTTATAGTTTTTTTGTGATCGAACTGTATTTTGGAAAACGAATTTCTGATCTTTTTGGATTTTTATTGACCAATATTTACCGGTGGAATTTCTTTATTTTGTATTTGTTATTTATCTTCCGTTGAACTTCAGTTAACCATGAGCAGCCGAAAGAAAACAAACACGAAGAGGGTGGAAGAGCATGAAGAATCCCGAAATGCTAGGCAAGTCGTTAATGATTCTTCTTGTTTAATGGGTTCACTTTCCACCAGTAGTGATGTTGTGTTTGATACGTATTATTGTAAGTCACCCTTAGAAGGCATTAAGGAACAAAATTTGGGCGAGAATTCCAAGGTACCAGAGAAGGATCAGATGCTTAGGACACCGATAGTAGGCTTGGAATTACCTAAGGTTGAACTTCTATTCTTTGACGGCAAACACCGAGACTACTTTAGGTTCGTTAAGCAGTTTGAGACGTTTATAGAACCTAGAGTAAGGGATGATAATTTGCGTTTATTATATTTAATTCACTACTGTAAAGGAAAAGCAAGAAACGCGATTGAAGGTTGCCTTATAATGGAACCACAAGTGGGATATAAAAGAGCTAAGGCTATTTTAAAGCAGCTCTTTGGACAATCGCATGTGATAGCCCGTGAAGCTTTGGAGGACTTGTTTAGAACTGGGAATGCGGACTATAATGATCCAGAAAAATTGACGGAATTAGCAATTAAAATGCAAAATGTTGCTATCATTATGGAACAGTTCAACTGTATTGCAGAAATAAATTCTTCAGTAACTTTAGAACGAATAGTTAGGCTCTTACCTCATCGAATGCAAGCCCAGTGGGCAGAGCTGGGAATCAAGTGGGACGAAGAGGAAAGAGAACCTAATTTCAATGAATTGACGGAATTTATTATGTCTCGTGCTAAGATAGCTAGTAGTAGGTTCGGAAGATTAGCTAATCGGGCTAAAACAGATCATAATACGGCAGCTATTAGTGATCTGCGTGCGAGACATGAGGATTCTTCGTTTACACCTAACTCACACCCGGAATTCAAGAGAGTTATTAATTGTATCAGAAAAGTATACCACGTTGAAAACCGAGTATGTGACCGCGATGATTTAAAACCCCTTGATGCGTATCCTAGTAAGAAGGCGGTTTGTGTAGCAGATAAGATGGCTTTTTTAAGTATGGAAAAGAAAGAAAAAGGCGAAAAGTGTAGGCGTCAGGATGGATCCGAGGTGTGTGATGGTAAA